GTCCCGTCGGCCCCACCCCCAACCCCGGGGGCGATCGCGCCGCGCCCTCCCCGCGGCTCGGGGGCTCCGGGGCCAAACCCCGTTCCCATGACGACGCCGGAGGTGCGGCGCCCGCCGAGCCGGCGCGAGATCTCTCGGCGTCTCGCCAGCTTTCTCGGGGACCCCTGCTTGCGGCCGAGGTCCTGGCCCGACTTCCTCTCAGCTCACTGGGGCAGAGAACGGGCGAGGCGTGGTGGTGACGTGTCGGGGCCCTCCCGGGCCTAACGGAGCGTCCACCCACGCTCTCCCGGGTCGAGGAGGCGCGCCGAGGCCTGAGGCTGGTTTGGGTGATTTCTCTCGAAGGTCGAGACCGCTTCCATTAGAGGCAGATGCTCACAGACTGTAGGTGCTTTCCTACTGCCCTTCTTGGGTTGTGCTTATTTTTATGTCATTTTGTAGCGGGCATGCTCTTGTTTAGAAACTAGTCAATGTGGGGGTTCCGGCGAGTAGCGGAGTGCGCGAGCACCACCCCCACCCCGCCCCCCGAGAGACCACAGTGTGCTGCGGCCCGAGGCTGTGAAGCCAGCCCCAAAGCACAGATGCGTCTCGTGAAAACTCGGATCATTTGATCAGGTGCCCAGATGATGTCATTGGTGGGATACCTGATGCTCCGAGAAAGATGGAGAGGGGAAAAACACCATCCTGGCACCTCACCCGCGATGCTCGGGGTTTGCCAGCAGAGGGGGTGGGATTAATTTTTTCATGTAATAGATGATCTTTAGGCACGGAGCATAAAAGCTACTTTAAATTACAGATCTCCGTGAAATAGCCAGCTGGGAAGATAACGTAAAACCTTGGTTTTTGATTTTCTGTTTTGTATTGATTGATTTGGTTCTGACTCAGGCAGCGTACTGTAAGGCGATATTACTTTAATCATCTTCCCATCAATATTTATGAAGTAGCCACAGGTGCCTCATCCTTGAATAGGAGTTGTACATTTATTGACCAAATGAACATCTGATGGTACGTATATATTTTATATGACCAACGCTTTTTAAAATCGTTTTATATTCGTTACCTGTGCCTAATATAGCCACTGTTCTTTGAAGTTTCTGTGTTTCCTTCATAGTACAAAATAACTTTGTAACTAATCATTGACACATAGTTGCAAAACTGTCTAATTACCAGGAATTATACTTGCCAGACAGATTATTATAACTTTAGAGTTAAATGGGAGTTCAGAGATCACACTCCTAAGTACAAAATGTGCAAAAGGACGTCTGCTGGAAAAGCATTTTTATTATAAATATTAAAAACAATAAAGCAAAACTTGTACCAATGACTGAATTAGGACCAAATAATCAAAAAATTAAATATCAGATGGTTTTTAGATAATGTCAGCATTGTGATTTCACTGATTCATTTATACTTACATTTTTTTTCTTTCTTTCCTAGCTTACCTTTTCCAGTACTCACCGAGCTTCCTTTAAATTTTTATTTTTATGCTTAACAGGAACATTTGAGGTGTGTGAAAGACTTAACTATCTCTGTAACAGGAAAGATTTCCTCTTATGAACTGGCTTTTATTATGTAATACTATCCTTATTCCCTTTTTCCATATTGCCTGGTTTTCATTCTTCCTTAAAGTTTTTTTTTTTCTTTCTGAAGTCAAACTTCTACTTGGACCCAATATTTAACTATCAAAACATAATCACTTTATTTGTAAATCATTATCTCTGTGATCGCACATCATTATTTTGGCATGGTTGACTTACTTGCAAATAACACTGTATGCTTTTAAAATTTCTATTTGCTTTTAATTAGTTTAGATTTAAAAAGTAAAGGCTACTGTCTTACAGATAGTTTCATGAGCTAACATTATGTCATGTTTCTTTCAAGTATTTTTTAGATAAAGAAAAACTTTCCAACAAAGCTAAAGTTTTTTCCACCCTATCCATTCTCTACTGTCCACCTAATATTATTACTCATTCCTATTTGCTATTTTTCTTCATAAGCCTTGCTGGATGCTTATTCATTTTACTAATTTTTTCAAATGAAACAGCTTTTGACTGTTAATGTTTTTTATTATGTGCTTTTTTTTGGTTTTGTTTTGTTTCACTGATTTCTACTCTTATTTTCATTATTTTATTTCTGCTACTTTGGATTAAACTTGTTGCTTTTTCTAACTTGTTAAGGGGGAAATAATTTATTTTATACTTTTCATTTAGGCATTTAAAGCTATAAAATTTTCTGTAAGCATGCTTTATTTTTAGTTGCACCCATAAATTTGGGTGTTATCATTATTACTTAAACTATTCTAAAGTTTCTCTGAGTTTTGATCAATTTAGTACCTCCAAATAATTTATCATACTTAGCTTATGGTCTTTCTTGGTCAGTGTACTAATAACCCCGGAACAAAAATGTGTATTCTGCTGGTGGTGGAAAGGATATAAATATTAATTAGGTCAAGTTGGTTGACAGTGTTGTTCAAACCTTTCACATTTTCACATTTTTTATGTCAGCCTCTTCTGTACTGAGAGTACAGAGAGAATACTGTCAATCTGGGGAAGCATTAAATCATTAAATGTGGATCAGTTTTGTAAAATGTGTTGTTAGTTACATACACTTTTAAGATTTCAAGATCTTTCTGATAAAATGATTTATTGGAAACATCCAGTTTGTCAAAAATATTTTTAACCTAAAATCCTATTTTGTCTGACAGTATGCACTAATCTCCAAAAATACTCTTTTCTTTCAATCCTGTTCTTTCTGATATTAATATGTGCTTAATATTTACCTTGTAAACCTATTTATACATTTCCTTATAGTTCTTCTATGTATCTGTTTAAAGTGTGTTATTTTAAAATGCCACACATTAAGAGGTAATCTCTGCGTCTTAATGTTATGTAGCCCACTTATATTTATTGGTTCTTTTTTAATATATATAATAGTTTATTTTTACATCACTTTGTACTTTTTTTTTTTTTCATCTCAATTGTAATCCCCATGGGGCCCACTTATATTTTTGCAACTTTCTTTCACATTGTAATTTCAGTTATATTGGGGTGGGGGGGGCTGTTGTTTTTCCTGTTTTCTCACTTATATTCTTTGATCTTATTTCCTGACCTTTTTTGGGTGAAGTGAAGTTGTTGTATTTTTTTTTTTTTTACATATTCTATTTTTTCTACTCTGTTGATTTTTTTTTAAAAAAGATTTATTTATGCATACAAGAACTGAGGTACAGGCTAGTCAGAGTAGGGAGCAGAACAGGCAGATTAAATGAAATAAATACACTGCTGAGGGGAGCAGAGGCAGAGACAGGAGAGGTCTGCTGTACCATGTGGGTCAGTTCCCTGACTGCCTGGGGATTGAATTCCTGCTGCAGAAGCTGAGGATAGCTTCATAGTACTGCACTTTAACCCATTGCACCACCAGGAGGGCCACTACTCTCTTGAATTTTAATTTTGCCTTTTTGTGGGTTTTTTTGTATGTGTCTGACTGTACTAGAGATTACAATATATATCTTGAATTTATCATAACCTGCTTTCAAATATATTTTTCATGAACAATATGAGAATCATACAATTTGTAGTTTTAATTATCTTTTACCTTTTGCAGTATCACATTTTATTTGTATATGTGCTCTATTTTTAATCAAAAGAATCAGTAATCTTTAGTCATATTTGAAGATGTATATATATAACTTAAAAGACTCATTTATACTTAACAATACACTTATCTTTTTGATATCTCTTAACTCCTGTAATTTCTATCACTTCCACTTAACCTAAACAATGTTTATAATTTTTTGCAATAGTCTTTTTGAAGTAAATATTCAGTATTTATAAGTTTGAGAGTCTGTTTAGCTTTTATTTTTGAAGGACATTTTTATTGGGTATAGAATTGCTAACTTTTTATTCTTCAGTACTTAAAGATACAGTTCCCAATCTTACCTGCATTGTTTTGTTGAACAGTTTCCTCCTCCTTCTCCTATTGTTTTGCCAAGGATAAAACAGCTGTAGGTTTCTTCAGTTGTAGGTAGGGCTAGTCACTTTCCAGATTTTAGTGCCTTAGCCTTTTGTTTTGCATCTTCAGCTTTCTGATGGATTTTAAGAAAATATACAATCTTGCAGTGTATCTACTGATAGCTTTTTCTCATGATAAGGATGGGAATGATACTCTTTTGGACTTATGTGAAATAGAAATAAACCCCTACAATGCTCATTTAATTAATATTGAATAAAAATTTCTTCATTACTTTTTATTATACACATGTTATTCTTACACTTTCCCAAATGAATTGTTTCTTGCAAATATCACCATGATAATAATGTAGGTTATACTGAATGAATAGATTAACAGAGACAAGTAACCTCTTTGAGTCTTCCTATCCAAGAATAAGGCATGTCTTTTTCTCTTTAAAGCTTACTGTATTTTAGCAGTGTGCATAAGACTGCATGTACTCCTTTGACTTAGTGTTTCTATATTCTTTGGGTAGACACCCAAGAGTGGAATTGTTGGATCAGATGATAAATCTATTTTTAACATTTTGAGAAACCTCCATACTGTTTTCTGTAGGGGCTAAACCAGTCTACATCCCCATTAGCAGGGGACAGAGGGTTCCTTTTCTCCATGTTCCCATGCATGAACACTGTTGTTTCTTGTCTTTTTGATATGTTGCCATCCTCAAAGGTGTGAGAAAGCATTCCATGGTTTTGATTTGTGTTTCCCAGATAAGCGATGAACATTTTTTATATGCCTCTTGGCCATCTGTGTGTCTTCTTTTGGAGAAGTTTCTATTTAGCACTATGCCCATTTTGGGATTGAGTTCTTTGTTTTCTTTTTGTTGACTTGTATGAGTTCTTTGTAGATCTAGGATATTAACCCTGTCAGATGTACGATGTGCAAATATTTTCTCCCACTCAGTAGTGGTTTTGTTGTTGCTGTTGTTTTAGTTTCTTTCACTGTATTGAAGCTTTTTAATTTTTTGTGTTCCCATTTATTTTTGTTTTTGTTTTCCTTGCTGATGAACAGTCAAGTCCCCAAAGACAGTACTGAAGCCAATAACATGGAGCATTTTCTTTTCTTTTTATTTTTTCAACTTAAAAACTGAATATTTTAATGCATGTACAAAGGAATATAATGGCACTATTTATAAAGCAGTTATGCTACTTTTTAAAAATAATATAATAGTTTATTTTTACATCATTGTGCATTTTTCCATTTCAGTTGTAATTCTTATGGGCTACCCATCACCAAATCACCCTTGTGCCATCATCACGTTTTATTTTCTTCTATTTATTTTAAGGTCTCTAGTCTTAGGCCTAAGTCATTAATCCATTTTGAGTTAATTTCTGTGTGTGGTGTGAGTCATCTGGATTTCATTTTTCTGCAGGTAGTTTTCTACTTTTCCTGACACCATCGGTAGGAGGATTTCCTTTCTCCATTGAGTGCTCTTTATTCCTTTGTCAAAGACTAACTATCCATGTGAAGGTGGGTTTATTTCTGGGCTCACAGTTCTGTTCCATGGTCTGTGTATCTGTTTTTATTCCAGTCTTGAACTATTTCATCTTTGTACTTTGCAATATAGTTTGAAGTCTGGAAACTTGATACTTCCATCCATTCTTCTTTAGTCAAGATGGTTTTGACTACTTTGGGTCTTTTGTGGTTCCACATAAATTTCAGCATTGGTTGTATTTCTTTGAATTCCACTAAAACTGTGAGAGGGATTGTATTGATTCTACATATTTTTTGGGTAAATTGGGCATTTTAACAATCTTAATTCTTCCAACCTATCAACATGGACCATTTTTCCATTTCCTGTGTCATCTTCTATTTTAACAATTTTTTTTTGTCAAATGTCTTTCATCTCACTTACTAGCTTTATCCTAGGTATTTAAACATTTCGATGCTACTGTAAACAGGGTTATTTTTTTGATTTCTTGTTCATTATTTGTATATAAGATTGTAACAGACTTTTGAAAGTTAATTTTGTAACCTGCCATTTTACTAATTTATGTTTCTGAAAGTTTTTAGTGGTGTCTTCAGGGCTTTCTATGTATAGCACCATGTCATTTGAAAATAGTGATAGACATGTTTTCCAATTTGGATTATTTTTATCTTTCTTTCGTCTAATTGCTCTAGCTAGGACTCCCATCAATATGTTGAACAGTAGTGGTGAGAATGGACAACCTTCTTATAAACCTGATCTTAGAATTAAACCTTTCAGTTTCTTACCATTGAGTATAATACTAACTGCAGGGTTGGCATATATGACCTTTTTTTGATAACCTTGCCTGCTTTTGTTATCAGAGTAATATTTGCCTCAATTTTTTTATGTTTTTGAGACCATTTCCTTTTCCTCATTTTTTGAAAGAATTTTAAATGGATAAGTATTGATTTGTCTTCAAAGATTTCACTAGTAAAACTATCTGGTCCTCAGCATTTGTTTTTTGGGAGATTTTTGATTCCTGTTTCAATTACCTTGCTTGTGATTGGGCTGGTCAGATTTTTATTTCTTCTTGATTCAGTCTTAGAAGGTTACGTATGTCAAGACTTTGTCCATTTCTTTCAGGTTTTCCAATTTGTTGGCATAAAGACATTCATAAGTATCTCTTATGGTCTCTGTATTTCTGAAACTTTTGTGTTAATGTATTTCACTTATTATTCTCTTTGCTAGTTTTTCCCTTTTTGTTCTTAGTGAGTCTAGCTAGTCAATTCTGCTATTTCTTCAAAGAAGCAGCTTTGGTTTCATTAATCTTTCGAATTGTCTTTTTGAATTCTATCTCAACCCAAACTTTTATTATTTCCTTTTAGTGACTTTTGGTTTCATTTGTTCCTTCTTTATTCTTAAGATTTGTTAAGGCTTAATGTTACTTTGTTAATGTTAGAGTTCTTTCTTATTTCTTGATATGGGTCTTGAAAGCTATATACCTCTCTCGTAATACTGCTTTTATTATCATAAGTAGATAGTGTCTTCATTTTAATTTGTATCCAGCTATTTTTTCTTGATTTTTAAAAATTTATTTATGCATGCATGGGCTGGGTATAGACCAAAGGTGAGGGTGGGATGTGTGTGAGAGGATTCGTCAGAGACAGAGTGGGGAACAGAACAGGTAGAGCTACTGAAATACACTGCTGAGGGGAAGAGTGGGCAAGACAGATCTGCACTATATGGGTCAGCTGCCTGGATGGTGATCAGACTTGTGCTGCAGTGACTCTGATAGCTTCATAGTGCTGAGACTTAATCCCTTGCCAGAGATTAAGAACCAGAGAGGCCCCTATTCAGGTATTTTTTAATTTCTTCTTGATTTCCTCATTAATGCAGCAGTCATTATTCAGCTTCCACATTATTAGAGTTTTTCCTGGTTTTGTTTCTGTGTGTGTGGTTGATTTCTAATTTAATACCATGTGGTCAGAAAAGATATTTGATAGTATTTCAGTCTTGATGAGTTTATTTGTCATTTGTTTGTGACTTAGTTTGTGGTCTGTCTTGGAAAATCCCACGTACACTTGAGAAGAATGATTACTCAGCTATTGGGGGCTGCAGTGCCCTATAAATGTCTACTAAGTCTCATCTGGTCTCCTTCTTCATTTAAGGCTATTGTTCCCTTGTTGCTGTTCTGTATGGTTTATCTGTCCATTGATGTAAGTGTGATGCTGAAGGTCTACCACAACTGTATTGTGGTCAGTGTCTATGTTTTAGTCATTAATAGTGTTCTTCAGTGTAGCATGAATCTCTTCAATGTCAGCTCTGTTAAAGTCTGTACTGGTCTCTAGTGACCACAGGATAATCATTTCCACTCCTACCAAACACTGTCTATCTGAAAGACATCCCCATTGCTCACTGCTCCGAGAGCTGCAGTTATAGGGAGGAGACCCTGCAGTTTCTTCTACTACAGCCTGCCACATCTGCTCCCCTTGGCAGGGCCTGCTCCACTGCTTACTTTTCCTGCTCCCCTTGGTATGGGTTGCTTCCAGGACTTCACTGGAGCTTGTTGGGTATCCTTTTATGGCAGGCCTGCTTGCTAGTCCTGTCCTGGGGCACACTGAGGTCTGTAAGAATCTTCCAAGGAAAAGCCTCTTCTAGCATCCTTGTAGGACCTGCTAGGTTCTGCAAGTGCCATACTGCCATTGGGTCCACTTCGAGGACACTTCCCGAAGCTTAATGAGTTTTGGGAGCCTTGCTTCCAGGTCCTGTTCTAGGGCTCACTCAGTCCTGCTGCAGGCTCTTATTATCTTGGGGTTGCTTCCAAGACCTGCCTTGGAGTTTGCCAAGGTTTGTGCAATGTCTGTGGAGGCTCCCCTGGTGGATCATGCTTCTAAGGCTCATTCCAGAGCTTACGGAGGTCTATTGAAGGTTACCATGTAAGGGCCTTGTCAGTTCCACTCTGCTGCTCGCATGACCCTCAGGGCCATGTGGTTCACCTCATCTACCCAGGAAAGCTACTGGCTTAACCATTTTGCTGCTTGCTGGAGTTCCCCACTCCTCTGGAAATTACTCCTGATAGCATTCTGCAATCATATGGCTTTCCTTCAGGAGTTCCTGACTTTGTTCTGCTGCAATCTAGCTGTGAGTATGTGAAGGAGGTTAGCCCAGATTCACTCTGCTGCCATCTGCTCCTAATAATTTAGAAATTAGACATCTATTTTTATTTAGTTAGTAATTACTTCAAAATAAAATGAAAGCAAACTTCTATTTCCTTTCCAACATTAAGAATACATTAATGGGCCCGCCCTGGTGGTGCAGTGGGTTAAAGCACAGCACTGTAAGCTAGCCAGAGCTGTTTCAGTGCAAATTTGATCCCCTGCCCTGGAGCTGACCCACCTGGCGCAGCAGACCTCTCCTGTCTTGCCCGCTGCTCCTCTTAGCAGTGTACACTGTCAATTCACCTGTTGTCTCTGGTGAAGCTTCTCACCACCCCTGCACCTCTGGCCTGTACTCCAGTTCTTTTGCATAAATAAATAAATCTAAAAAAGAATACATTAATATCTGCTGATTTCCCTAGAAATGATGAGTCACATACTTTAATACCTTCCTTTGTTCTTACCTGCCAGAATTTATTTGAATAATTGGTTTTTTTAAACTTTTATTATTCTTTCTCCCTTTTTTAATATCCCCTTAAGGAACAGTTCTCACATTTGCACTTCCATATATAGCCATGTTAAAAACAACTAGTTAGACATTAAATTTTAAATTTACATGTTACAGTTCTCATCTTTATTTCTTGTATAATTTATCTCCTCGATATCTAAGATCTTCATTTTTGACATAGTATTTATAACTATAGAGTTTTCCTAAGTAGATGATAGTAGTACACAAAGATGTATGTAAAATTTGTTCATTTTGTAGTATTATTATAAAAGCAAAAATTAGAAACTAATAAATATCTACAAATAGATTGATTACATAAAATATAATTATTTGCAGCCATAATTGCAAAATCAGAACAGATTTATCACCTTGATCATCTAAGTGAAATGAATATAAGTACCATTAACCTTTCAATCTATTTCTTCTTTTTTTTTTTCAGTCTATTTCTTATGCAGGTTATAATTATAACATAAATTTAGACCATAAAAGCTAAGCATTAGCATGCATGTCATTCCTATTCTATTTAGAATCTCAGACAAAATACACATGATATATTATTGAAAAAAATTTTTTTTTTAAGATTTATTTATTTATACATACAGAACTGGGGTACAGGCCAGAGGAGCACGGGTGGTGAGAGGCTTCACCAGAGACAAAGTGGGGAGCAGAACAGGCAGATAGACAAAGTACACTGCTGAGGGGAGCAGCGGGCGGGTCAGGAGAGGTCTGCCACACCATGTGGTCACCTCCGGGGCAGGCGGGAATCAAACTTATGCGGAAGCGGCTTTAGATTCTCAGTGCAGTGCTTTAACCCGCTGCGCCACCAGGGAGGGCCTGAAAATATTTTTTAAGAAATTTAATTTTAATCTGTTCTCATAGTCAATCCATGGATTCCTCTGGACAACCCAGACCAGAAGATAACCAGTCAGTGGTCAGCAGAATGCAGAAAAAATACTGGAAAACAAAGCAGGTCTTTATTAAAGCAACAGGGAAAAAGGAGGACGAGCATGTGGTAGCCTCTGATGCTGAACTGGATGCTAAACTTGAGGTAACTCTGAGGATCCTGTTTATTGCATGTAACAGATTATTACCTAGGATTAATAGAAGGACTAGGGCAAGGTTTAAAACAGAGGAATTTATGGGGATAAATGCAAATTTGATAATGTTTAAAAGTATCCATCTGTCCATCAGATTTTCTGGATAGGCAGTCACCAGTCTCACAAATACAGAATTGGTATTCATAAATTCAGTAAATCATGAATAAATCATTCCGATGGCATGAGTACTAGAGTTTATAAGCTAAACATTATTAAGTGATTTATATTCTTAATTGGCACTACATATTCATTATATGTCATAATATTTTGTACCACTTTTATGTGAAGTCTTAGAGCTTACTGAAATAAATTAATTGAAATCAAATAGGGAGGATTTTATAAATTAAAATTTGTTTCCATTATTAAGGGGTAGGGTTGTTAAAGAGTTTCTGTAATATGTTTACTGGACCTTTTTTATTTTAAGCAAAATAAACCATATCATGAAACAACTCTAAATATATGTTTTGTATTTTAAGTAATTCAGCTACGTGGAAGAAGTTCTCATGTAAATTAATGAGAAAACTGGAATCTTTGAATGTAAATTTATTAATTCTACATAAATATACTAATTTAAGATAACTTTTACAAATATTTCCAAGCAGTGACTCTGTTATCCTTATATATATCATATGTTGGGATTTTTTAAACATATAAGTTTAATTAAATAAGTCTTAATGTACTAAGTATTTTGTTCTGCAAAATGATGTCAGTACCATAACAAATTAACAAACTTTTGTTTTGAAATGTGTTCCTCTTGTGATTTAATTAGGATTAATAAATGTGGAAAAATGAAGATACTTTATTGTATTGTAAGTAATATGTATCTTTAACAGTAGTGAAACTTCACCATTACTTTATATATTCCCACAGATTCAGATATTTTTGTATTTTATATGATTAGGTAATCTGTGAGTTATGTTTTAATATTTAAAATCATTTTTGTTCCTTAGACAGATATTTGGAATCAACCAAGTAATTTCCCCACATTTATGTGACTTATTAAGGATAAGGAATATTTTCACTATATGTATTCTTACAGCAAATCATCATGTTGTCCATTTAAGTATATTATAATTTTGTTTATTAATTTATTTTTGCTTGTGAAGTTAAACCTCACAAAAACTGGGAAAAAAATCAATCTTTAATCACTTCCTCATAGTACAAAGTAAGTTTGTGTTCTTTTCTAGTCTCCTTCCATATGGATTTAAAACCACTTTTTAAATTACCAAATCAAATTCAAACATACCTAAACTTTTATGGAAAATTGATGAATTTGATTATCAAAGTATTATAGCCTAATATACCACAGTGCCAAGCTCTTTTTTGAATTAAAAGTCTCATAGCAATTTAGCTTAGGACTTTGTGAGAAGGAGGCTGCATCCTAAAATCTATGCTGACTTGTTTTTAGGGAAAACATAAATTTATAGATACACGTGAAAAGTGGCCACACATCTAGAATGTGCCCCACTCTCAAGCTTTCATGTGCCTCTGAATCGGGAATCCCCTGGATGTTTTATTTTTCTCTTAACTATTACTAAGAGTAATACTGAATCAATTAATATTTATGGAAATTCTGAAGAAAATAATTTAAAAGAAATGTAAGTTACTAAATTTAAAAGTAATTCATTTTTGATGTTTTAATTTCTGTAATATGTTTACTGATCTGTTTGCTTAGGCCATACTAGAGAAAAACCATTTCATCTTTGGTTGGCAACTTTTGATGATGTTTATATTGGATTTGCCCTGTTCCTATTTAGATATTTTGGAACTGAGTGGGACAAACTTCAGAGTTAGATGTTTTTATGATCTCCTATGTTGTTACCATTTTTTCCAGCCCTCAATAGGGAAATCTAAACCAAACTGAAGTGCATCAGTCACAGAAAATATTTATTTATTTTAGTTATATTTATAAAACAAATGTTTTGCTTTTGAAATACTTACAAAAGACATTTTACTTTTTTATTGTTCTTTAAATTATCCTAATAAAATTTATATTTCAAAGGTTTTTCACTCCATTCAAGAGACATGCACCGAACTTCTGAAGACAGTTGAAAAGTATCAACTAAGACTCAAAGGTATGAAATCATAAAACTTTATCTGATAATAGCCATTTAAAATAAATATTCAATGAATATTTGCATTTCAATGAAATACTTAATATACAAATAGCAGTTTATTTAACTATTTCGTGAATAGTTTCTTATGACAAGTATTAATATCTATAGTGATCTCAAAGCTCCCAGTGTCAATCTGAAGTCATAAATACTCTGACACATGTTCATCTTGCTGAATTGACTTTTCCTGCCCAGAATATTAAGTAGATTTTCTCTCATCACTTAAAACTCTCTTGACGCCCACTTTGCTTGCAGTTATCATCCCAGTCACTGCTCCTTTCAATAAGTAATTTGACTTAATTGTCAGTATGGGCAATCTCTAGCTATTCCTCTCTTTCCACTTCACTTGTACTCATTCCAGTCAACTTTTCATCCCCATTCCACAACCAAGTTGCTTGTCATAGTCACAAAGAGCTAAGTCCAACAAACTCTTCTCAGTGTTTGTCTTGTTTGATTTACCACCCTTTTTTTTAAAGATTTATTTATTTGTGCATACAGAACTGGGGTACAGGCCAGAGGCTCAGGGGCGGCGAGAGGCTTCACCAGAGACAGAGTGGGGAGCAGAACAGGCAGATCAATGAAATACACTGCTGAGGGGAGCAGCGGGCGGGTCAGGAGAGGTCTGCCACGCCATGTGGTCACCTCCGGGGCAGGCGGGAATCGAACTCATGCGGAAGCGGCTTTAGAGTCTCAGTGCTGTGCTTTAACCCGCTGCGCCACCAGGGAGAGCCTATCTTGTTTGATTTACCACCTTTTAAAAAAAACAGTCAATTACCCTTTCTCCCTTGATAAACTCTTCACTTAGCTTCCCGGCATCAGTTTCTGGATCACTCCTAGTCATTTCTTCTCAGTAGACTGTCTTCAGGGGTTTTCCTCCTTTCTTGATCTTTTCATGTTGCAACTCATCTTTGTATCCCTTTTTCTGTTTTAGTTACAGTAGCCTAGTGAACACGGTCACCTCTCTGATCCTGGTTACTTCTCTGACCTCATCTTTTTAAACACTCTGCTCTGCAGTCATAAGGATCTCCTTAATAATTGTCCTGTTTGCATAGTGGACACCATAACTTCCTTTAGGTATTTTAGTCAGATGTCTCCTTTTTAATGAGACCTTCCCTAACTTTAAAACTTTTCTGGGTCTGGAATATTGAACATAGGAACTGAACCCAGGACTGGAGTCATGGAAACAAATACTTTGTAAGATGCAATGAACCTAAAATGCATTTCTGCACATTCAAAAGTGCATTCATTTATGGTTTTATTTTACAGTTTTGGATTTTTTAATTATTAAAGATCACTCTTACCAAAGAGAGGTGTATGGATTTACTACATCAAAATCACCTGGAGAGCTTATTAAAAAAATGTAGGTTCTGACTCTCCTTTGTAGCGCAGTGGGTTAAAGCACAGCACTAAGAAGTTTAAGCCACTTCCGCATGAGTTCAATTCCCACCTCCTGCCCCGGAGGAGATCCACATGGCACGGCAGACCTCTCCTGACCCGCCCGCTGTTCCCCTCAGCAGTGTACTTCATTGATCTGCCTGTTCTGCTCCCCACTCTGTCCCTGGTGAATCCTCTCACCCTCCGCATCTCTGGCCTGAACCCCAGTTCTGTATGAATGAATATAGTAAATCTTTAAAAAAAAAAAAGGTTCTCCAGACCTATATAATCAGAGTCTCTGGACATGGAGCTTAGGAACTTACACTTTTAAAATAAGTTTCTCTTACTCTTCCTCCAAATAATTCATATATAGAGAGAGTTATTGCTGTGTGAATTTTAGTTGTGGTTGTGTTTAAGACAATGATGAAATGAGGCAATTAATTACTGAAATTTTTCCCCCCTAGTTATATCAGGAGAAGAAAATGAACTAGGGCTCTTTTTGATGTTTCAAGCTGAACGGGATGCAACACAAGCTGGCAAAATGATGGATGCTACTGGCAAAGCACTCTGTTCTTCAGCCCAGCAAAGGTTTACCATGATTTTGCACTATCCTCAAATTTGTAGCCAATGGGACATTTTGATGTATGTACCTAAATTCTTAACTGTAAAGGTGGCAGATTATTCCAGTAAAGGATTTAAAAAATATATTGCAGTATGTAGTTGATTTAATGACTCTATTTATGTTGTAATTAAAATAGTTTAAAAATTGACTCTTTAGTTGCTTAATTCCTAAATAAAAAAATACCTTTGGCCCATATTTTAGTCTTTTAACTGGTTTAATGTAACAGAGGCACAGAATGGCTTAAATTTAAATGTGTATATTTTTTCTTTTTTTTATGAATACTATATACTATCTGAATACATTAGAAGTTTTTTTAAGTAACAATATTTTTTCTTCTTTATACATTTTGCATTGGTGACTTTATAATTTTTAGAATAAGAATGCTGCAACGTATTTCCTACAGTATCTACACTAAATCTTTGCATTTTCAGAAGGGTAATGATAAAATGACAAATATAAAAAAAAAAGGTAATGATGATATCTAATTTTCAGTGGCTTTATTCTGAAATACCACATCAGTGCAAATATACCTATATATATTTTAATTTATATATATTTACATCATTCTTTATTTTTGTAAAACAAAAATGTACTTAAAGAAAATGATGAAAAGATAATGCAAGCTCTCAGTGCCATTAAAAAAAGCAAAGCAGAGGAAATGGATTTGACTTGTTTCTTAAATCTTTACTTTGTCCTAACCCTCAGCTGTTAAGAACTTGATCTTCATTGATTCTTCCAGCACTTTATCTGCTTTTCTAGACCCAGGTTTTCCCTAAATTTGTCAAATTTGAGGCTTTCGCTTTATAGATTATGCTTTACAAATCAATACATAGAAATCTTTACATATAATAGATTTCCTTGACAGGCTATTTATATGTAGATTAATCTAAAATGTTGTGAAAAGCATATAATAAAATTATAAATAACATAAGAGAAAGGGAAGATATCTTTTTAAAAAATTCACAGTTTGGGGCATCCCTGGTGGCACAGTGATGCTAAGCTATTTCCAGCTACTGCAGCACAGGGTGGATCCCCAGCTGGCCAGGTAGCTGACCCACATGGCACAGTGGACCTTTCCTGTCTCCCCCTCTACTCCCCTCAGCAGTGTATTTCAGTTAATCTGCCTATTCTGCTCCCCACTCTGTCTTTGGTGAATCCTCTCACCCACCTGTTCCTCTGGCCTATACCTCTGTTCTTGTAAATAAATAAATCTTTAAAAAAAATTCAGAGTTAGATGTATGATCTGTATCTGCTTTCTAATGTTCCTTAGGCATTTTCATAATTTCCTATTTACAGGTTCATTCTGATAGCAGACAGGCTTTATGCTTGTTTTAAACGTTTGGTTTGTTTTGCTCATGGGATGAACATCACTCTGATTGTTATCTCTCTGCCTTTAGATTGGCCCTGTGTACTCCTCTATCTCGTCTAAAGCAAGAAGTAGCAACATTCAGTCAAAGGGCAGTATCTGATACCTTGATGACAATTAACCGGATGGAGCAGGCACGCACAGAATACAGAGGCGCTTTGCTGTGGATGAAAGATGTATCCCAAGAACTGGACCCAGAGACCTTAAAACAAATGGAAAAATTCAGAAAAGTATGAAAATGCATTCTTTTCATTTTCTTGATAATAAACCCAATGAACTTCTATAGGATAATTTAAAATCATAAAATGTCAGATTATAAATTCTTGATTGTTTGGAGATCTTTGGTCGAACCACTAAAGGTTGTCACACTTCCTTTTCACTCCGAGTAACATGCTTAATTCCCATCAACCTTTTCTGTTGTTATTTTTTTTTTATCTCCCTCATAATTGATCTAACCACTCTTTAAATGTTGCTTACCTGGATTTTTAGGATATGAATGCAAGAGAGAAATTATTATTGAGGAAAAATATGTAATTTAAGCACAAATTAATTTAAAATAACTATTAGGAGGAAAGGTAACTTACCAAATTTTTATTCTCTGAACTACATAGTGACCATAACTTTTAAAGCAAGTATCTATGGGCAATTGTTATGCTAAGTCATTACTTTATTATAAATTGTACCTGCTGAATTTACCATACATGAATAACAAGTCATTCACTCCATTTGATATGTAGAATACTTATAATAAAAACTGTTTCAGTATTGATCAAGCCTTTATTGTATTCTGGTTGTGGTAAGGGTTTGCCTGATTCATTACTCCCAGAAGTTCTGAAAAGTAGGTTGGCACATGACCTCTGTCACAGCAATCTGTAATTTACCCCTTTCATAATCTTTCACAATTATAGTACAACCTGAGGAGTGGTCACACGACATAGAATAAGCTGAATGCTACTGAATTATACAATTTTTTAAATGGCGGTGTATGTTATGTGAATTTTACCTCAATATTTTTTGAAAAAAATACAATCCAAACCTCATGTCTGCATACAGTTAGCCCTGTAGTGTTATCCTGGTCCCTCTGTACCTTTATCTCGAATTTTTTATGCCCCATCCCTTTCTATGAGACAGGAAGGAATATGCCCTATCCTATGGGCTCTTTACTGCTCATGAATGATGGGAAGGACATTGTTTTATTCACAATATCCCAGGGCCTAGAACAGTATGTTGCATATAATAGATACCTTATGAACATCAGCTGCATGAATGAATGTGAATAGTTAAAAGTTTAGTATTTATACTACTTGGAGAATTATGACTCACCTTTTGTATAAGAAAAATAGGTCTGTATTAAAACTTATAAAATATCCATGATTCAGAATTATTATTAATGTTTCACAACATCTTTCTACTTACTCTTCTGCTCTTAACTAAATATTGTCCATCAGTAGTTATGAGGATTTCTTTGTATTTGGAATCTGTGGGTTTTTTCCTTCTTAACAATACATTTTCCATCTCTCATTGCATATATTCTAAGCATAAAAATATCTACTTTAAAGAATCTCTTACAATTACTGAAATAACCAAAATCTTTGCCTTTAAATGTAAACTAATAATATAAGGAAAAGGAATTGGAGTCTTATTACAATTTCATGTATCTGAAAATATATTTCTTGAACCTGTGCAGTATATTTCTATCTGTATTACCAGTAATAATGGTCAACATTTGTGTGGTTGCAGGTACAGATCCAAGTGAGAAATAGCAAAGCTTCTTTTGACAAGTTAAAGATGGATGTTTGTCAGAAAGTGGATTTACTTGGAGCTAGTCGCTGCAATATGTTATCTCATACACTCACTACCTACCAGGTACCCACCTCCATGGTCAGCATGTCCTTGCAGTAAAGATGAGTGGTGAGATTCCTTTTTAAAAGTTGTCTAAGGGTGTCAAAAAAAAAAAAAAAACTATGAAATCGATCAGATGCCTTTGACTTTGTTAAACATTACTTATTGAGAGTAAAACAGAATCATAGAATTCTAGGCTGAAAAGGGCCTTAGGGACTGCCTGCTCCCATAGTTTCACATTATTCTCATTGATATCCTAGGAGAGAGAGATAGGCACCACCTCAGGTTGAGGGGAATGTAGAGGAGGCAGGTTGCAAAGCCCATGAGGGACTCCAGTTCCCCTATAGTCATTCTACTGTGAAACTCTACATACAATTTCATTTGTAGCCAAGATGCTATGGCACAAAAGAATTAAAAACTTTATGCTATTTTATTTTATGAATGAAACCTATGTGAATTAAGTGGCATTGTTGTGCTTAAAGACCTCAGTTTTCTGATTCTAGAATTTTTTTGTTCTGCCAAGTTGTCATCCCACACTGATTGTAACTTAAGAAATCACACATAAATAGTACAAAGTGAATAAATTAGATATTAATAATTACCAGTTACTAATTTTAAATGTATTTGTAAATGGCAAAAAGGGAAAATAAGCTGTATTTACATAGGAAAGAAAAGTAAAGGAAATGGATATTCACTGCTAATTTAGTTAACCTAGTTTAGTTAAGTACTGAAGAATTCAGGTGTTAAAAAATACATACTTGAAAATAAAAGTACACGACAATTTATATAGCGTAATGCCTGAAGCACAATAGAAGTTACTTCAATTCTCCTTTATTCTCTTCACTCATCGCTGTCATTTTGAATAGTAACAATGAAGCAACAGAAAAATCTTAGATTACTTAACTTGAAAACAGACAAACAAAAATTTTTCTATAACTGAATGAAAGACCAAATTTGACTGTATTCTTTTTCATTATATTGAAGGCCTACATATGCTCACCAAAATAAATATTTACCCTAATACAAACTGGATATTTGCATGCTTTTAACATCTCTCTTTTAGATTCCTTTTAGAAAGTTTCAGAAAACTTTTAGAAAGTTTTTCAGTTTACCAGTTCATTCTCTTGGCTGCTGTCACTCTTGGGCTCCCGTGTACATGTGAATGATACAGTCACACATGCACATCTAGACACAGACGCCAGGTCTATACTTACTACTTACAGTGTTCCCTGGTTCGGATTTAGTTCCAGCTTCTTATTCTGGGATTATTCACCTGTTACACAAGTGAGGGAAACAGCACTGAAAAAATCATGAGGAAGAAGCAGAACTGTGGTGTCAACTTCTCTTTTTCTACAGAGAACACTCCTTGGATTCTGGGAGAAAACAGCTCAAATAATGTCCCAAATCGATGGGACCTGTGTTGGCTTTCATCCTTATGGTTCGATAGCTCTCAAGGTACATTTCTGTGTTCTTTTGTTCAATATACTTGATTTGGATGATAACACTGAAACTATTTTTTGCTAAACTTAATTTATCGAACATTGGGGGGACCATTTTTTACACTTGTTCAGCCAAGGGTCAGCACTCCTTCAACCATCATTTTTCTCCACTCCCCTGATTCCAGATGCTACACGCAACATTAAACAGACACTTGCGAGTATGTTAGGCTGTTCATGATATCAACGGGGACAAGGAGTGGGATCTTTATGAGTTCACTCCTTGAAACTCTATATTTTGGGATTGATATGGGTTTTTAAGACATGTTCTTCCAGTCCTATAGACACCCTTGAATTAGGGCTTTTGGTTTTGGTTCTTTTGTTGCATGTGTTTTGTTTAGATATTAACTTTTTTTTTTTATTTTACTGCTTCTACGTTACTTGATAGCATGATACATATTTTGGGGAATTTAATGTCCAATTTTTGCTCAGAATTGATGTGAAAATCTTAGCTTTATTGATAGCACTGTAGTTCAGGCTAGTACCACAGTGTGTGTCTTCTTTGGCATATCACAGATTGTGAACCCCGGGGTGTTCCACTTTACATTGTGTGCAGTTGCCGCAGGCAGCCAGGATAAACAAACATATGAGTTCAGTTTAAATTACATCAGCATACATTATGTCAGAACTACTCTTATTTAAAACTGTTCTTTAGAATTTTAATTCTCATTTATTTTGTACAAAGAAACAGATTCTTTCCATCTACTTAATGTTGAATCTTTTATCCTTAGCAACAAGAAGACACTCCAAGCAAGCTTACTGAAGGCAACAAAGAAGAAAACAGTTTTGTTACCGAAAACCTCAATAAGTAAGCAGGCAAAAGTTATGAAAAGACTTGAATGTCACTGTATGATACGTTTGAAGAGTTGTTTTTCCTCTGGCTGACATGTGATGTGAAGCCTTATTCCCTAATTTTATCGTATCAGGCAAAAGAGATGACAGCAGTACAGGCCATTAGGGGATGATAATTTCAAAATATATAGTTTGGGGGATTCAGCCCTGTACCTCTAAAAAGTGACTACCAGTGGAGGCAGCTTAAAGAAAGTGACAAGTGCTACTGGAACCTACCTCTGAACAACATGAATGAGGCTGTGACTGCTTAGCTAGAAGGGGCTTCTGGAATGCACATCTACTTGCTGCCCATCTCCCTTTTATGACCTCTGACTTTTGTTTTCCTTTGAGAGCTTCCACTTAATTGTCATTTTAACTGGTTTATCCTGTAGATATTGATACAAATTGCACTTGGTATACTAATGGACCCAGAAATAGGGACCAAATAGTGATCAGCTGTACACTGTTAATGGGAAGGTAATCTAAAATATAAGCATTTTCATTGTCTACAAAGACTTACTAAAAACAGACTCCAATATTAGAATTATAAGGTTTTATACCAAGAAAAATCAAGCACCCTTTTTTCCCTGTTATTCTTCATTCCTTCTATTAAGCCCTCAAAGATTTTTGAGAAAAATCCTGCAGTGCATTAAAACTATTCATTATACTTGAAGGCTTTGGAGGCAGATGTTGCATCTGATAAATATTTAGTATAGTGCCTGGTACTTCAGCAATACTAAGTAAAATGACTGAGAGAATAAGGAGCAAAAGTTATTTCAGATTCTGTGTAGACCTATAGAAGATTTATCTTAAAAAGTATTAAGAGTTCAGCACATGACTATGTTATGTTCCTTGTTATGAAAAAAAAAAAAATCAGACTACACTAAACATTATAGAATGAGTTCCAAACATATTTTAACCGAAATCTGTACTTTTTGGTTTTTACTTCAGGTTAGTTTTGTCAGATGAGGAAATAAGCTTGGAAAGTGAACCAGGTAAGATGATAAAATCATTACTTTGAAACAATCACATTTTTAAGTGTCAAAGTAGTTTACCATAACCTTTTAAAACAGATGCGTTAATATACATTCAATTAAAAACCATGGTTAATCACTTTTTAAGTTTCTTCTATACAGTCAATTAAATTTCTATTTTTTCTATCTTTATTGAGTTGTATTTAATATATACCATGTAATTTTAAGGTATACAATGTAATGATTTGATAATTGCATATATTGTAAAAAGGTTATCACATACAATAAAGTTCACTAATTTATCCACCACTTCACATAGGTGCCATATTTATTTTGGGGGTAAGAAAACTTAAGATATACTCTTATTAGCCATGTTGACAGTGCTGTCAAACATATAATACATTATCATTACCTATACTCACCATCCAGGAGAGTAGATTCCCATTATAACTTCCAGTTATAATCAAGGTGTTCTGAAGAGCTACTCTCTCATTTCCCCTACACACACAGCTCCCTTGCCCCCAGATCCTGGAGACTTCTCGTTTACTCTGTTTCTGTGATTTAGTTTTTTGAGATTTCACATATAGGTGAGATTTTACAATACTATCTTCTCTAGATTATTTCATTCACCATAATGCACTCTCAAGCTCATCCATCCACATTATCACAAGTGGTAGGATTTCCTTTTTTGTGGCTGAATGCTTTGTTTTCTATATTTTTCTATATGTTCTATTTACATTTCTATAGATCATATATATCACATCCCCGCCCCTTCATCTGTAATAGACACTTGTACTGTTTTCAGACCTTGCCTATTGTAAATAATACTGCTGTGAACACATTGCAAATATCTTTTAAAGACAGTGATTTCATTTCCTTTGACTCTATCCCCAGAAGGGGGATTCTGGATCATAAGTTGATTCTATTTTTAATTTTTTGATTAAATACTCCATGGAGTATTAAATACTCCCTAATATTCCCATACTGGCTGGACCAATTTACATTCCCACCAAAACTATACAAAATTTCCCTTTCCTTCACATCTTTATTGACATTTATTATTTCTTGCTTTTGATATTAACCATTCATTCTAATCAGTGTGAGGTGACCTCTTATTGTAGTTTTGATGTGCATTTCCATGATGCTTAGTGATGTTGAACACCTTTCTATGAACCCGTTGGCCATCTGTATGTCTCCTTTGACAAATATCTATGCAGATTTTTTTAAATCATGTTTTTATGCTATTGAGTTTTATGAGTTCCTTCCCTTTTTGGGGTATGACCCTTTTATCTGACATATAGTTTGCAAATATTTTACTCATTCTGTCAGTTGCCTTTTCATTTTTGTTGTTTGTTTTTCTGGTTTAGAGATTTAGTTTCATATATAGTCTCATTTATTTTTCCTTTGTTATACTTCTGAGTCATATCAAAAAGTCATTGCCAGAACCTGTGTCAAGAAGTCTTTTCCCTGTTCTTTATTCTAAGAGTTTCATAAGTCACATTTATCTCTTCAATTCATTTCAACTTAATCTTCATGGGTGGTGTTACATAAGGGTCCTGTGTCATTTTTTTACATGTGAATATCCACTAAGTATAGCCATTCTTTTTCTCTTTTGGTTGCCATTTGTTGGAATATTTTTCTATCCCTTCACTTTTAGCATATACAGATCCTTAAAACTAAAGTGAGGGCCCTGCCTGGTGGCGCAACGGGTTAGTAGTACTGCAAGCCAGCGCAGTTGCTTCAATGTGAGTTCGCCCCAGAGGTGATCCACATGGCGCAGTAGACCTCTCCTGATGTGCCCGATGCTCCCCTCAGTAGTGTACTTTGTCTATCTGCCTGTTCTGCACCCTGCTTTGTCTCTGGTGAATCCTCTCACCTCCAGCTTGTACCCTGGTTCTGTATGCATAAATAAATCTTAAAAAAAAAAAACTAAAGTGAGTCTCTTGTAGGCATTACCATTGTACTTTTTTTTTTTAAAAATCCATTCATCCATTCTCTTTTGATTTTACTAGAAGTAATTGATTGGTAAGGACTTATTAATGTCATTTTCTTTATTGTTTAGTTTTATATTTCCTTTATACCTTTATCCTCTCTTGATAACTTTGTTGTTTGACAGCTTTTTGTGGTGGTATTGTTTGATTTATTATTTCTTTGTCCACTACAGTTTTTTTTTTCTTGGTTACCTTGAGGCTTAGATAACATAACTTTTATTTATTACACCCTATTTTAAGCTGATAATTAACTCTAGTAGCATACTGAAACTATACAGTTACTTCTCTCCACCTCATATTTTAGGTTTTTTATATAGTATATCCAATAACAAATTCATGTAGCTATAGTTATTGTGTTTTAACTTTCAAACAAGTATTGACAGTGCTTCATGCATGCCAGTGCACTATTTGGAGAATCTGATTAAGCTATATGTTTACTTCTACTAGTGAATTGTGTACATTCATGGCTTTTACACAGTTAATTAGTATACTTTCACTTCAGCTTGTGGGATGCCCTTTAGTATTTCTTGTAAGGCAAGGCAGGTCTTATAACGATAAACTCCCTCAGCTTTTGTTTGTGAAAGTCTTTATCTCTCCTTAATTTCTGAAGGGGACCTTTGCCAGGTATAGTATACTTCATTGGCATTTTTTTCTTTCCACATTTTGAATATATCATCCCACACTGAGAAATCTGCTTATAGTCTTACAGGGGCCCCTCATATGTGAGATCTTAGGCAAAGAAATCCCACTAGCTTGTATGGGCCTTTTTTCATTCAAATTTCTTATCTGTTAATCTCTCTGTCCTAATTTCCATATCGTTTTCTCTCTATGTTGCATTTTAGGTAAATTCTTCAGATTTGCTTTGGGTTGTTTTCAAATTTTGGTTACTTTGAAAACAATGCAGCTATAAACATTTCCATGTAAATTTTAAGAGAACATGTTTTATTCTTTAAAAATGTTTTATGGTTTTTTTTGTGATGTTGCTTTATAATATATATATATGTGATTGAGAGGGATAGGATCATACCTCTTCAGATATATAGTACCACACCACACCTATCATCAAAGCACCTACAGTCCTTCACCATAGTCTACTGGACCCTCTCCACCCTCCCTTTCTCCTTCAGGTAGCCTAACTTTTACCATCAGGTTTCTAGGGTTTGTTTGCTTGTTTTAACTTTTTCTACTTTCTTCTGTGGGATCCCAAACTGAGTACAGAGTTTCAGTAAGGGAATAATAGACATTACTTCCTTGTCCTTAGATGAATTACACACTCTAACTATCCAAACAGCAACACTATCCACTTTTGTATGTAGGAAACATATCTCGTTTAGACTATTAAATCTGAAAATAGTTGAATATATAAAATTCTTGGAACTTTTTTTTTTGTCTCTGTTTATACTAGGATTGTAAATAAGGTAGAGATGACTTAATGGAGAAAAAGATTCTGAGAAACTGGCTCCCATTACAATAACAGGGCATAATTTGTCTCAGTATAGGCTAAAACTTGGAGGTAACTTTTTAAAATTACTTAATTTTTACATAAAAGAACTGAGGTACAGACCAGAGGTGTGATAGGTTAGGATATTCACCAGAGACAGAGTGGGGAGCAGAACAGGTGGATCTACTGAAATAAACTGCTGAGGGGAGCAGCAGGCTGGTGAGACAGGAGAGGTCTGTTGAATCATATATGGGTTAGCTCTGTGGCAGGGATACAGCTCAGGCCTTAGAGGTATTAGTGCTGAGACTTAACCCTTAGACGACCAAGGACACACTTTAAAAAGCAATTTTTGTTTATGGTAGTTTTAGTTTGTATGTCTTATTTTTTTTTTTTAAAGATTTTATTTATTTGTGCATACAGAACTGGGGTACAGGCCAGAGGCTCAGGGGCGGTGAGAGGCTTCACCAGAGACAGAGTGGGCAATAGAACAGGCAGATGGTCAAAGTACACTGCTGAGGGGAGCAGTGGGCGGGCCAGGAGAGGTCTGCCACACCATGTGGTCACCTCCGGGGCTGGCGGGAACTGAACTCATGCAGAAGCGGCTTTAGATTTTCAGTGCTGTGCTTTAACCCGCTGAGCCACCAGGGAGGGCCTGTATGTCTTATTTTTTTATGTTACAAGCAGTTTAACACCAGTGTGCTTCCTTTTAACGAATGAATTTGATCTTTCTAGTCATAAGAAAACACTACTGCTTTCACTCTAGAGTGAGAATTGTGAAGATACACTGCTTTTAGAAGAATAGGGCAGCTTTCGAATTAAAAGTACCCAACCAGGACCTCCCTGGTGGCGCAGCGGGTTAAAGCACAGCACTAAGAAGCTAAATCCACTTCCGCATGAGTTCGATCCCTGCCTGCTGGGGAGGTGACCACATGGCGTGGCAGACCTCTCCTGACCTGCCCGCTGCTCCCCTTAGCAGTGTACTTCCTTGATCTGCCTGTTCTGCTCCCCAGTCTGTCTCTGGTGAATCCTCTCACCTTCCACATCTCTGGCCTTTACCCCAGCCCTGCATGAATAAATAAATCTAAAAAAAAAAAAAAAGTACCCAACCATTCATTCATTCATTTAACATAAAGAATATTGGCTGTATAAGATACAGGGAGATTAGGCAGAACAAAATAAAAATGACCTACCAGAAATGAATAGACTAGCTATATATATACAAAATCAATTTTCAATTTTCATATATGGTTCTTTAAATTATTACATCTCTCTCATATGTATATAATCTCATTTTATCAATTACGTACTTTGGCCTACTTATAAAATATTAAAAGTAGATAAGCATGGCCCTCCCTGGTGGCGCAGCGGGTTAGAGCACTGCACTGAGAAACTAAAGCCACTTCCGCATGAGTTCGATCCCTGCCTGCTGGGGAGGTGACCACATGGCGTGGCAGACCTCTCCTTACCCGCCCGCTGCTCCCCTCAACAGTGTACTTCATCGATCTGCCTGTTCTGCTTCCCGCTCTGTCTCTGGTGAATCCTCTCACCCTCCGCATCTCTGGCCTGTACCCCAGTTCTGTATGAATAAATAAATAAATCTTTAAAAAAAAAAAAAAGTAGATAAGCATGCCAAATTCATTTCAACTTAAAGGTAAATTTCAACTTTTATGTGCTTTTGTTGCAGCAATCAAAGACCATATGGAAAAGCATTTTCAAATGAGGGAAATTGAAGCACTTCAGTTTTCTAACTCTGAAAATGGTATGAAATTATAATCTCACTTTCACTGTCTATAGGGATAAATTTATTATTTAAAATTCCTTCATTTTTATTTAAGTATATTTCTAAGTATTTTATCTGTCTATATTCTCTTCCGTTATATCTTAACTGGTATATATGTATGCTATTGACTTATGTGTGTTAATTTTATATACTGATACCTTGCTGAATTCTTTTATAGTTCAGACTAGTGTTCAATCATTGGTTTTCTCAAATTATTCAATTATATTATGTCATTTGCAAATAATAGTCCTGTGTTCTTTTCTTTACAAATTCTTATGACTGTAATTGATTTCTCTTGTTTAATTGTATTGGTTAAAACCTCCAGGACAATGTTAGATAGTAGTGGACATTTTCTAATCCTAATGGAAATACTTGTACTGTTTTTGAATTAAGATGTTGGCTTTTAGACTGAGGTATATATTTGCCAATGTTATGGAAGTATTTCTCTGTAACATCCTTGCTGTAGCAACCAAGTGCTTAGTAAAGATGACGACAGTAGCTTAGGTTTGGGGTTACTTACTCCTGCATGAGGCTACCACCTTATGAGTAGGGTTGAGTAATCAGAACCCTGTATTCTCAACATGTCCCACACAACTCAGTCTCTGTTTTTCTTGACTGAATCTTGATGGGAGAAGAGCTCTCGACCTCTTGGCTGTGCTTCCCAAGACCTAGCCTCAGCAGCAGTAGCTAGGGAACAGAATATGAAATATTGACATACTGCCATTCTTGGAAGAGAGCGCATGCCTGAGTCCTGGGGGTTCAGGGAAGAGAGATCTATCTGTGTTCTTGGCTAAACCAAGCTGAAGTGGAATTTTCATGAAGGTGTTCAGGGCAATATTTCACTTTACCATCTTGGTTACTTTGAATAAAAGTTATTTAAGAAAGAGTCATACAAGACCACTCTTATCTTTGAAAGCAGGAAATAAAGCTCTTGTTGTGAAAAGTACCTTCCCAGTACCAGAAGGTAGAGATTTCCTCATCGTCAGAGTGGGAATTGAGGGCTGCAGCTGTTTAAACAAATGCTACTACTTTTTTATTACCTTGAACGTAGAATTCTTTGTCTTGTCAATTCTTCACAAATTTTGTTTCCTTGTTAAAAAGGCTTAAGAACTGAATGTTTTGATCACTTCTTATATAAATTATTAAATTTTTCTCTTTTAATAGGGGTGGTTCTCAACTAAGAATCTAAAAGGAGAGAGGAAAATTAATTTTTCTCCCTTATACCACCTTGCTGAACTGGGAGTGGCATGAGAGTGTTTTGTTTTGTTTTGTTTTGTTTTGCGGGGGGGGGGGGGGTGTAGGAGGGAGTAGTTTTTAAAGATCAAATACAAGCCTCTCATTAGTCTTTCTGAATTTTAATGGTGTTTCTTGTGTAAATGTTTCTTCACTAACTATATGTCTGTCAGACATTTCCAGAGACTTTAAATTGTTGTTTTAAAATAATTTTCATGAGGTATTTAAAGATTGGCATGTAGGTCCATGGACATCCTCATTTATCCTGGAGGAGGCCCTTGTTTGATTTTCATTGAAAAAAGTATTTTTTCCTATTATTTAGAGATTATCAGGAAATGCTTCTAGCACTGTTTTTCAGCATTTCCATTCTTTCAACCAAGAGTTAGAGGTTTTAAGATTTACAAGTGGAAGAACCTTTTTGGTTCATTTTTAAATTATTTCATTTTATAGCATTGCAAGCAGAACATTTTATCCCCTCCATTTACATGGTTTATTGAGGTAAAGTTGGTTTACACCATTACATGTTTTATGGGCTATGGGCTCAAACCTCTACAAATGTCTGTTTCCACACCATATGCTCCACCTGGGCCCTTCCCTCCCCCACATTTTGGTTGCCTCAGTTTGGCAGTCAGATATAAAGATTAGTTATAGTTTGGTTCTTTCCGACCCTTTGTTCTGTCTCTCTATAGTCCCTATGTAAGTGAAACATCTGGTATTTATCTTTCTCTTTCTGACTTACTTATTTATAAGCACAGCAGTTATTTTTTTATATTTTTTCTTTACAAAAGTGATTATTTTGTGTGCCTTAGTATAATTTTTGTGAATTTGCAATGCTTGGAAAAAGTCATATTTTCTATCATTTGAACATGTATATATACAAAATAACTAACTTATTGATTATTCTGCTTAGAATTTTTACATTTTTACTTTTGTCCTCTTTGCCAGCTTTTTACTGAAACTGATGTATTAACTCTATTTCTTTTTGTATCGCCTATAGTTTCTATCTTACATATGTGATTACATAATTATTTCATACATATATTCATAATGGTTATATCTTCATTATGAAATGTTGTCATTTTTCATCTATAGTCTGCCTAAATTTGAGATAACTTACAGATACTTTGTTCATTAAAAATTTTAATTATGAGAACATTATAGCTGTTCATTATAATTAAGCAAACTTGATTTGCTCTCTGTCCTTTCTCATTTCCTCAAAAAGAAAATAGCTATTGGTTTTATTTTCATTTGGCAGTTACGAAAGATCTACCTGTAGATTCCCTGGAAGATTTTGAGAAGGAATTCTTATTTCTGAACAACCTCCTAAGTCCTGCATCTTCAAATACTAATGAATTTACTCAAGAATGCCAGACTGCCTTTGGAAGCCCCAAGCCCTCTTTCACTTCCCAGGAACCTCCTGTGGGATCTGAACCTCATTCTTCTGGATTCCTTCCTTCACAACTCTTTGACCTTGGCCTTCGTGCTGATGGAGCTTTCAACAGTAAGTGTCTATGAAACAACTGAATACCTGTGCTTTATTTTATCTTTGTGAAGCACAACTGTATGCATGCTGATGCTAAAATCAAGGCGATTTATCTTTAGTACTACACTAAATAAAATCTGAAGTTATACCAGTCAGTGGGAAAATATCAAATATTGCCACCAGAATCTGTCAACCAGGCAAAATAGTGGCTTCTTTCCAGTCACCTCCACCACACCCCATCACCCAATACCACATCTTTTTAATTTTCTCAGGTGTCTTTTCTGCATAGAGAATTGGTGTCTTGTTTAAACCTCTTGACCTGCTAAGCTATCCTGACATAGGGCAGGTGATACTCTTTCTTCTACCTAGCAAAATCTGGCATTTTCTCCTGTGGATTCATGGTTAAATAGAACAAACAGAACAGCTGTGGAAGCTGTTTCCACACCAGCCTTCAGAAAAGATAGCAGGAGTGGAGGGCCATGACGAAAGCAATGGTGACAAGTGAGGGGCTGGGCAGGACGTTTCCTGAGGAAAGGGTCACTTGCTTTGTTTGTATGTCAAGGAGTGCTCTACTCACCTGCTGGCTCTCCACCCTATGTTCAACCCAACACACTGGGGGTTATTTTGCTCCCCATTTCTATATTGGTTACTAAGTCCTGTGAATTCTGTTTCTGAGACAGTTCTCAAATTCCCCACTCTTCTCTGTCTCCATTACCAGAGTCACTTATTTTTCTGGGTTTCTGCAAAAAGTCTGCCTAATATGCCTCTCAACCCCCACTTCAGTGCTATACTTCCTTGCGTTCTATTCCAAGAGCAAATTCTAGTGTCAGCAACCTGCTTTACAATTAAAAAAATGAACATCATGTGCTCTAGAATAAAATCTGCTTTTGCCTTCATTTCTACTCCTGTCTTTCACTTTAAATACTCAACCATTTTCCACATCTATATTAAATATTTTCATATCTCTAAGACATTTTTGCTGGTGTCTCTCATTTGATTATGATATTCAGTAACAGAGTCTAAATATTAAATTCACAACCGGCCTTTCCTGTATGTCCAGAATAGAGAGCTCACTGTGAGTTAAGAGGTAACACCAGGTAATGGCTTGGACCTCAAGTGAGCTCTACTGTAAAAGGAAGGTATTAAGTCAGGTTAATCTAAATTCCTGCCAAGTGCAACGTTTTAATTATAGCATAAAACATTTTTCATGTTACAGCAAACATTTCTCTGTATTATCAGAGTATTCATATTTTTTTCATGATAACAGTATTTTGTTATATTAATGCACTGCAGTCTACTTAGTCTCTTCCTGTTTGTAGTTTTTTGTTTTATAGATGTACACTAATCATGCAGTAAACATAATCATGTATGCACCTTTTCTTTCAGTTAAATGATTTAAGATAAATTTCTAGGAATGGGATTACTGATTACTGAGTCTAAGTAACTAAACATATTTATAGGTATCAGGTTTTTTCCCTTTGTTGAGGTCACATTGATTTATTAACACTGTACATGACTTAGGGGAATAGACTCACACTTCCTTATCTGCATGTGACCATGCCACCCCCACCATCAAAGCGCCCATAATCCTTTACCATTCATTGGGACCTTTCCCCTATGTTTCAGGATTCTAGTTGCCATGACTATTTTTTTTCTTCCTAACTTGTTAGAACTTCTCTTCATATTCCTTATCCATTTGCAGCTGTTTAAGGTGAAAAAAATCTTTTATATATATCTCAAAACCACCTTGAAAAATGTAAGAACTCTAGCTGGAGCTAAATTGAGGTAATTTAAATAAAACATATAATAAAATGTGTTTTGTACTTTTTAAAAAACTTTCTTTTTCTTACATCATGTTGCCCCATAGTTCTCCCACCACTTTATCACCTGTGAACCATCACCAGAAATAAGTGTTTTATACTTTCTACACAGTAGTCTTGGCCAGGTAGGAAGACAGGAGGACTTATTATTTTTACCTTTTCTTGTTTTTCTGATGCTGTTTCATACTTGATTGACAGTGGATAATTCATTATTTCTTTCTCCTTAGGCTGGGCCTCCCAAAGGGGATTAGAACTTCCTCTTTCACACACTGACAACCAACTAGTGCCTTCACAAAGTCCAAAGAAATTAACAAGATGTAAGTTATTTATCTTGCCTTTGTTCACAATTGACTTCAGATACATTGTAAAGACTTAACTACTATTGTCCAGAACAGAATGTTATTAAACAAAATGGAAGCTATTTTGACTATCCCTAATCGTAGAAAGATCTGAATAGAAATTATGAACTTGTAGTAAACTAAATTCTGTAATGTAATCTTTTATATCATGTGTTAAGGTTTGCTGTTAATGGATACTGCCATTATGTTTAAAAGATGCTTTTTGATGCACCAAAAATGCATTCATAGAACAGGACCTGGCATATAAGTAATTGCTAATTTATAAGGTGTGTTTACTGTATTGTCTGCAGAGCTGCTCCATGTTGTAATTGCCACATAGGGGATACATAGAAAATAAACATACATCCTGTTTTATAGAATTTTAGCTATGTATTAATCTTCACCATTAATGTGTGTTTTTAAAAATTTGTTAATTGAAAAGGATTTCAAACATACAGAAATGTTGCTTACATAACTGTAATAGCATAAACACCCGTATACTGTTAGCCAGGTTCACCTGTTTGTTATTTTATCTCATTTTGCTTCCTGCAGACCTCTCTGTGTCTGTATGTTATTTCATTCTGAAATGCTTTAAGAATTTAGTTACATACATTATAACCTTTTACCCCTGCTTCAGTTTGTTTCCTAAAAACAGGTATATTCTCTTGCAAACTATAGTATTATTGTAAACATAAAGAAATTTTAATACAGCAGTATCCCCTTTAATACAGTATTACCCACAGCTCCACATCCCAGGGTATTGGTTACCTGAAGTTAGCCAGTCTGAAAATAATATATACAATAAGACAGTTTGGGAGACCACATGCATAGAACTTTCACAGAGTATATTATTAACTGTATTTTATTATTGCTGCTATTCTGTGTCCAGTTTATTATTTTTTTAAGATTTATTTATATGCATACAGAACTGGGGAACAGGCCAGAGGTGCAGGGGCAGTAAAAGTATTCACCAGAGACAGTGGGGAGCAGAGTAGGCAGGTCAACTAAGTACACTGCTGAAGGGAGCAGTGGGCAATACAGGAGAGGTCTGCTGCACCATGTGGATCACCTCTGGGGCCAGGGATCGAACTTGCACTGAAGTGGCTGCAGCCAGCTTGCAGTGCTGCGTTTTAACCTGCTGCGCCACCAAGGAGGGTCTGTGTCCAGTTTATAAATTAAACTTTACCGTAAATTTACATATATAAGAAAAAAAACAGTGCCAAACACTATATATGCTATCCAGTTTCAGGCATTCATGAGGGTCTTAAGAGTTTATCCCCCACTGATAAGGGGGAATCTACTGTTTTAACATAATACTTTCGTATAAATCTATCATGTATTTGTATCCCAGTTTTGTGAGTTGACTCAATAATGTCCTTTAAAGCACTTTCCCCTTTTGGTACTGGTCATATATTCAGTTTTCATGTCTTTTTGGCTTCATTTAATCTGAAACATTTCCACAACTTTGGATTTTTGGACATGGGCATATTTAACAGAATGCAGCCCCTCTGTCCTACCGGGTTTTGTTTTTAATAGCATCTTATTTAGTTTGGGCTGAGGTTTCCTTATTAAATTAGGGTTATTCAGGAATTCACCTGAAAGTTTGAGCTTTCGCTCCTTCATCATTGATGTTAAGTTTTACCATTAGGGTGTTGCCCATTTTTCTCCTATATAAAAACTGTTTTATTTAAACTTTTGCAATAAAAAGCTGTGTGTGGGAAGACACTTTGTAACCATGCACACACACACACATACACACATCCTACTCTTAGTCAGAATTTCCACCTGGGTTAGCATCCATTGTTGCTATTTGCCTAGTGCAGTCTAACACCTGCACTATCTCCACCTTTTTTTTTTGTCAGCAAACACCTAATACAAAATTTACCATATTAACTATATTAAAACATACTGATGTATATGCATTATTGTGAAACAGAGCACAACTTTTTCACCTTGCAAATTCGAAACTTTATACACACTGAATTACTACTACCTCTTTTCACCCTCCCCCAGCACCTAAAAACTATCATACTTTGATAACTTATTCTTCTCAGTCTTTTTTTGATTCAAAAGAAACATCTACTTCAAAATCATAAAAGTGGTTACAGTAATGTGATTTCAGAAAGCTGAGACTCCAATGTGTTATCTTTCTTTTTACAGCTCCCAAGAATGGTAACCAAGACATGTCAGCCTGGTTCAGTCTGTTTGCAGACTTGGATCCACTTTCAAACCCAGATGCTATTGGACACTCAGATGATGAACTTCTTAATGCTTAGCTGAAGTTATAATGTCACTTCAATGGCCTTGAGACCACTTTTGCAACATACACCTTTGTGAAAAGGATTTTATATTTTAATCCATACATAAAACATCATGTTTGCAAATGTAACACTTGTCAACCAACATTAGGCAGATGGTAAGAAACCATGAGTACATTAAGTATCTCTTTATTATCTTGGATATGCAGCTATTCATAATATATGGAAAATATTAGAAACTACTGAGTCTGAAACAGATGCCAAAATTTATTTCAACATAATAGCTACAAGTAATTCTGTCAATAAGAAATTGGGTTTACTTATTTGGGAAATCTTTTATGTATAAGTTGCCTTGCTGGCTGATAATTTTCTATGTGGATAAAAGACACAGACATTTGGTTGTGACTTGGGTTAGCTTTTTAAATGTAACAGTGACTGAGGGAATTTTCTGTTCTGGAAAGTAGCACTAGAACCAGAACTACTTTTGGTTTTCATTGGAAAGGTAGAATAACATTTGAGAACTCAATTTGCTTTAATGAAATCAAAGAGAAACTTGGTGCTTGTTTTCTCCACTTGTAGTATTACTTAGTCTTTTTACTTTAAAAAAAAATCACTGACATCCCTCATTTCCACTACTGAATTTTCATGGGGAAGTATCAGGGTGATTGATTTATTAAGTCCATCTCTGTAAAAATGGAAAACTTTTATCCTAGCTCATAAACAGTAAGACTGTCCTATAATATTCAAGACAATGTTCAGGGATCTTCCAGCCCCGTTTTTCACATTGCTACAGTAATGTCTAGTATTCATATTCTTCCTGAAAACAAGGGAGGACACGCCCTAAGCAACGGACAATAAATAGTATTCCAGAAACTACCTGAAAATTTCTACCTGAATATGGGGGGAAAAAAAATTCTAAACACCAATCCTTATACATACATGTGTACTTACCCCGTATTTCTTGGTATGATTTAACCCACGATATCTTCTGGCGAAGTTACAGATAGCTCCACATGGCTAATAAGGGAGTGTCTCATTTCTCTCTCTCTTCCTTTTCTGTAACCGACATCTGTTGCTCTATTTGACTGTGAAAGGAACTGTTCCTCTTGGACGGGTATAAGTAGAGTGTAAGTACTTGGAAGAAGGGAATTTAATAGCAGCAAGTACAAGCTCACAAAAACACAGCCCCTGTGTACACACATCATGTACCTTTCCTGCACGTTCCCTTTAGGTTGGAGGCAGCTCTCTGGGTGGCTTTTGTCATCCAGTCTATTGGTTCTCTGAAAACAAGCACTTTAACCAAGTTGTTTACATAGTTTTTGTGCACTCCTAATTCTAAATAAGCTTATTTATTATTCGTGACTTGCTTATAACATCCAAGTCATTGTATATAGAAAACATATTTTGTAGCAATGGAGAACAGATAAAATGCCATTAATATGGCATAACTATCTGAACTGGCCACAAAGTTCTCCAGAAAATTCACTATGGCTAAACATTATATAGGCTGGAAAGACCTTATCTGAAAGTCAGAAACATGGAATAAGGAAAAGATTTTGAAGTCTTAAATTTTTCACATGCTTATTCTATATTTTATTTTTAATAAGTTGTTACTTACCCCTCATTATTTTTTAACACTTCCTTTTTATTTATTGTAATTTCCCAAATATAATACTGCCCTCTGCCAAGATTCAGTCACCAAGGATTAAGATGAATCACAATCTACATCGTGTATCTATGGTGACTTTATGCTCTTTTGAATACCTGAAAAATAACCTGAACTTTGTATTGAGGTTATGCCATTTTTCCTCACTAATTTTCTGTCACTAATGCATTAGTTCTAAGGTTTTTATCTCCCTTGCATTCATGCAAAGCAGTACCTGTTTTCTTGTATAAACAGAGACACCTCAATGCAGAGGAAAACCATTAGCCTTTCCAAGCTTGAATCTCAGACTATGAATGTGAAGGGATACTGTCCTCAATTTTCCAAGAGCAGAGGTTCTCCAAAAAATAGAACCACATAGGTATTTTTACCATTCAGTTCCAAAATTTTTTTCTTTCAACACAAAAGGTAGCTACCCGTTAAACCTGAAAGCAAGATTATCTGCACTTCGCAAGCCCAATTGTAACATCAGTGAGTCTAATACAATTTTGAAGAGTACCTTAAAAACTATTAAAAGAAGGTAACCATTCATGTTTTTTCAATAATTTAGGGGCCAAAACAAAAATCTAGCTACATTACAGCAGGGTTACTAATCTAGGAAGCCAACCAGATATTCAGAAGGGAGTAAAAGAAAAAATAAACACAGAACAGAAAGGCAATCAGTTGCTATTTGTCTAACCATTCAATAATCAACCATTCAGTAACAAAGGTAGACTGCGAACAACTGTTGCAAAATAAATTGATCCCTTTTTTAAAATATTAAATGGGGGGAAATACTGATCTACTTTTTAATATGACCTAATTCCTTTAACCTTAGCCCCAAAGGTACTAAAATTTGCTAATTTTTCTACAATCACTTTACAAGAAAGCAGCAGGAATACTAGGGCATGTTAAGATCAGACTAGCATCACTTTGTACTTTGAAATCATTCCTCAGTTGTAAAACATAGGGCTAGAGATGACTAGAAACACTATTTTAAAAAATAGGTTTCAGTATTTGCAAAATGAAAGTGTTTGTGTTTCAACTAGATATTTCACATAAGTATCTTTATAAATTAAGTCTTAAAGCAGAAGAACAAAGGAAGTTTGAAAGTGCTCTATTTTTCTGAGCCTCTTTTAATAAAGATTACTAAATTGCAAAAATAAGTGTGTTTCCTAAATATTCAATATAAATCTAGTTGTTGTGTGTCCCTATTTAGAAACTTGGGTTTTACATCATGGCCACAGTAATAGGAAAATAAATTAACCACAAAATGAAAATAAAACTAGGAAATTAATATCTTTGTGAAACTATTCTTTCCACTTCATGTAGGACTTGTAAGACATGGGAAATAACAGAATCCTAAAATATCAAAATGAGGTCTAGAAGTAATAATCAGTAAAATATATGAAACAAACCTGATTTGTTGAAGGCAAGAATTAAAAAAAAGCCAGAATTGACCCAGTGTTCTGTTTTTCATAGGATTGCTGTGGCCCTGCACTTCCTTACCTTGAGCAGTGAAACAGCCCTAGAATGCTGTGATATAGAGTAGGAAAGAAGTACAAACTTTAAAATATTAACTAGTTCAGCAGTACTTAAAGTAATGAATTTAAAACATATAGTGGCAAGGGTTGTTTTTTTTTTAATGTAGAAGAACTGGAGTACAGGCCAGAGCTGTGGGGGGTAAGAAGATTCACCAGAGACAGAGTGGGGGAAAGAACAGGCAGATGGACTGACATACACTACTAAGGGGAGCAGCGTGTGGGTCAGGGGAGGTCTGCTGCGCCATGTGGGTCAGCTCCCTGGCCGGGAGTAGAGCTCATGCTGCAGTGGCTGTCGATAGCATTATAGTGCTGAGACTTAACACCCTGCACCTCCAGGGAGGCCCAATGGCAAGGTTTAAATATATAAATCTATCATACAGGATGGGAAGAGAAATGTTGCTTAGGATGAGTTGCGCCCATAAGTCCAACACACAATATATTCTTCATTCTCCTATGTGCCATTTTTAAAAGGCTAAAGAGGCTAATGTTGTAAAAACTGTCCTTGGTATTTAGAGTCAAGACATGATTCTTTGCACATTGGTATAAATAAATCAGGCAGTAGCCAGAGTAAATACCAAAAGGAGGTAAAGATTGCTACTAGTAGGTAAGATTTTGAAGTGCATTGTTTTTACATTAAAAAAAACCCAACTTTTTTTTTCCATTTTAAAGTAATGCCTTCTCATTTATAAATCTGGAAAATCCTAAAATCAACCACATCCCTACTGCTGAGAAATAACCACTTACTATAGATTATTTTGTAGAGATTTGGGGCACTCATGAATTAAGTTGTGATCCAGGTGATTTCATGTTGTCTATCTACACTGGGCATATTGAGTTGAAATTTTTAAAATTTACTTCTGTAATTCTTTTCCTCAAAAAAAAAAAAAAACCCACATCAAAAATGTGATTGAAGTAATTTTCTGCATCCCTAAAAGATATGCTCCCTAATTTGAAAGATATTTTTCTCAAAATTCTGCAGCTATAGTAACAAAACCAAAGAACTTGAGTTTTCACTAACTTTCTTGGTTAGGAACTGGTGTCTGGCTTACTTTCACTTGGCCCTCTGAACCATTCTGCCAGTGGTTTAAGCAATAAAGAGGACCACAAAGGGGAACAAAGAGAACTCAGTCACATAATCTATAAGACTAAACACCTATATATTTTAACCTACAATTAAAGAAGAGGCAGCAGAAAGGCTTGGTGGTAAAGTTTGAGTGCTAGAGTCTATTCTAAAACAGACTTGGACATTCCCAGATAAATGACCATATATAAGTTACTTAATCTAATGCCAATGTTTCAGCATCTGTCTTCATAGAGTTATTATAAGAATTAGGATAAACAGTAAAATTTAAAGTGCCTGGTACTTGGTAGAAGCTATTAATGTTACCTTATTTTTTATTATAATTTCAGCTCAACATCTTTATCAATATACTTACACTTTGCAAGCTAGAGAGAATTTCATAGAACCATTTTCTATGACCAGAAACCTCTGGCTTTCCTAAGGAATGAATAAACTTACCAACCAAAACATTAAAGGAGCTGATAATGAATATTTGCTTCCCTTTTTGTTAAGCACTATTTTCCTATTTGTTAGAAATATAACTGATAGCACTATTACCCACATTTTCATCATTGTATAATTAAGAAAACTGGGATTCAACGATGGGAATTCTTTGCCTATAATCCTATAACCATGAACTGCATAATCAAAACTAGTGCCTAAATGACGGCCCTAAGTTTTGGGCTTCTCCTACATCACCTCTGAAACATCCTAAAGCTCTCTCAAAAATAATTGCCGAAGATATGGAATTAAGACAGATGGTTATGCTCCTGGTTTTTAATCACCAGAGACCCCATAATAGTTCTCCTTAAAACAATGACTTAGCATGATTAATAATATTAGTGTATAAGATCACATTTAGACAAATAGCGAGAAACTGAAGAAATTGCAAACCTTATTTTTTAACAGAACCAGCAATGTGAAGATATTGAAAAGGAGTAGAAAAACGTGTCTTAAAGATTTCAATCTCTCTCTATATTAAGATAGCAGACCAACCCAAAGACATACAAAAGTTGTGTCCAGAATAGTACTTTTCAAATTGTTTTGATTAAAGCTCACAGTAAGAAACACATTTTACTTTATAACCTACTATGTATCTCAAAGTCTAGCAGAATCTTTACAGTGGAGTAATACTGAGTATAAGTGTACTTATGTTTTCTAGTTTCAGTTTAAAAAATGTTGGCCGGACACAATGAATCCAAGACTCAATTAGAAAAAGACACAAAGCTATTTGTATTGTAGCATCTCTTTGTACCAAGAGATACAAAAACTATTTGCATTGTAGCATGTTCTAATAGAGGTTTTAAATAAAGACATTTTAAAAGCACAAGGATCTTAACAAGGAAAAACAAATTTTGTGTATATAAATAAACAAAGCATTGATAAATATTAGCAGGGAATGACAAGTATTTCCCTCACAAAAACAAATATAAGGAAAAGGGTAATTACAGACCTAAAGATACTTGGGGATATTAATATTTCATGATTATAATCAAAGGGGAAAAAATAGGAAAAGAAAGGAACACCCAACTTGAAAAGGGAGCAGACAGAAAAAAAGGGAGAAAATTGCATAACTTGAGTCTCTGCATATAATGCAATACTGAGTTGTAATAATGTCCACATTAGTTTTTCCCAAATTCTGGTTAACTTTTCTCCCAGAAATAATTTTTAGAATTTACAATGTATGATAGTTATGGTGCTTTTAATTGGACTTTGTTTTGAGATAATTATAAATTTACATGCAATTGTAATAAATAACAGAGATCCTGTATAGTCTTTAACCCACCTTCACCAATGTTATATCTTGCAAAACTATACAATAATATGACCAGGATATGGGGTGGCCTTTTATAGTTACATCTATTTCCTTATCTCTATAGCCCTTAATAATTATTAATCTATTCTCCATATTTATAATAAGCTTGGCCATATACAGAATGTTCTATAAATGGAATCATACAGTATATAATTTGGGGGGATTTAAGTCTCTAGAATTCATCTCGGTTGTTAAACCAATAAAAGTTCTTTTTATTGCTAAGTAGTAATCCATGGTATGGCTGTATCACTGTTTAAAAGGTTTATCTTTTGGAGGTTTTCACTATTACAAATAAAGCACTATAAACATTCATGGACAGGTTTTTGTATGTAACCCAGCATTTCCCTGAGATATATGTTAAGACGTACAATTGCCAGTTCATATGTAGTTCCATGTTTAGTTTTATAAGAAATTCCAGCACTCTGTTCCAGAGTGGGTTGACATTTTAAATTCTGACCAACAATGTATGAGTGATCAAGTTTCTCCCCTTCATTGCTAGCATTTGGTGTTACCATCATTTTTATTTTAGCCATTCTGATAGGCATGTAATTCTATCTCATTATGATTTGAATTTACATTTCTTCAACAGGTAAAGCTGATGAGCATCTTTTCATGTGCTCATTTGCCATCTGTATATCTTTTTTGGTGAAGAGATACCTCTTCATATGTGGTAATTTTTTAACTTCATTTAACGGTATCCCGGCTTCCTGAGTACCATTAATGTTGTCTTATTGGGGCACAGCTGCTTAGTTCTGTAGGTACAAACGAAATTCCTCACAGTCAAAATACTTACCTTGCATACATAAATCACTGTTACAAAGGAAAAACACCAAAGGTTTAGCAAGTTAAAAAAAAATCCTCTATATGAACTTTAGCATGAAATTGACACTACAGCTCTATCTCTTGAACTATGAAATGTCAAACTACACATCTTTGATGTACTTACATTTTAATAATTATTTGATACTTAGAATAAAGATGAGACACTGTAAGTTCTAGAGCAAGTGAGACAAGCAAGACAGTAACAACTAACAGTATTATACATCCTGTAACTTTATGCAAACTCATTTGTGAAAAATAGGCCATTTGTAAGTTACTTCAGGAGTGTCTGAAAGAAATAAAATTTGTGTTTGAGACAATATTCATAAAAGTGCACAGAAAAAATTCTCAAGAACAGACTTTATTTTTAACATAAAAGCTGTATTTTCTTGTGAGGCAACAAGAAGTGTTCAGATACAAGGGAATACATAAGTACATAGTAACAATATTTATCACCATTGGAAATGCTGTTTGGGGGATAATTGTTAGAAAAACAAAAAATTTTTAAATTCCATTTTAAAAAGATTTACATAGCTTCAACAGAGACGAAAGATACAGACTTTAAAAAAAACATAAATTATATTCTTCAACAGGATTGTATAAACAAAATATTGTTCAGGGCTGCTCTGCTTATCATTAATTTAGGCAGAGTAAAACTTAAACCTTAAAGTGCGGAGTTAAGCATTCTTAACTTTCTAATGCAAATTCAGCACTTCCACTGGTCTGCTTTTGAGACATCAAAATTCCAAGCATTAAAGGAATGAACCTTAAGTTTATAATAAATTCAGTAGTGGCAACTTTTCTTTTTATTTTCTGGAACAAAAGAAAATCCTGATAACTCAGTCCTAATTTTGGACTTCTAGAAAGCTACAAATTCTATTATTATGCCTTCTTCAGTAAAGGTCAACCTTTAAAAAGAAAAAGGGGAAAAAAGCCATTCTTGTTGCCAGTTACTCCATAGTTAGTGATAGCACCTTCTAAAAGGTTGATTTGGCTTATTGTAAGAATCACTTTTTTTTTTTAAATGAAGACCCTAGTTCAAAAAAAATTCTGGCATCTATGTTCACCATATTAACCAAAGAATCCAAAAGGGTATTTTAAAAGCATAACTATCCATAAAAGCATGACAAGTAACAGACTTAATTATAATCAGAACAGTAAATTTATGTAAGTTTTATCACAACAAGGAAACCATTAAGAATGAAAAATAGCTTAAGACTGACAAAATGAGTAACCAGAGAACAGTTCCTTTTGCTGAAATATACACACTACCCATTCTTTTCTTGTACTGCAATGGAAACAAATTTATTAAGAATTTAAAATATTTAATTATATTCCCATTAAAGCTGTTTTAACATAATTTTAATTGTTATTCTGTATAGTAATACAGAATTACAGAAGATAATTTTAGAAAACAATTACTATGTGTTCCACTAAGAGTAGATCCATTGAAAAAAAAAAAAAAAACCTAATAAACTAAAGTTGAGTGAAAGAGCTGAATGGACCTGTGGTTAGTATTTTCTCAAAGCTGTGATGAAGCTTATATGCTTAAAAATTAGCCCTTTGGCACTGGCAGTTTAGTTGTTTATACCTTGCATCTCCCTCCCAACCCCCAATTCTCCCAAACCCAAGAGACATGTTTAGTTGCCGCACAATTCATTTACCTGCAAGTTCGCATTATCTATACAACCAAGTATTAGAAGTCCACTTACAAATTTATAGCCTCAATTTTTTCTTCCATTCTGACTTTGAATTACTTAAGATTAGGGATAAATGAAACATAGAAAAAATGTGTATTAAACACACGCACAAGAGTAAAAGGAAACACTTAAAAGTGGCATTCTAAGTTGTAAAAACCCTTGTTAACTGTGAGGATGGAGACAGAAGAGACTAAGTAGGTAATAAGGCAAGGAGAAGAACACAGATTTAACAGAATTCAGGTGATCCAAAAAACAGTATTTTCTTTAAAACTTTCTTCCACCATTCACATGAACTCACCTGATTTGTTTTACTTTTTTTTCTGTAGTTCTATTAGAGCAGTTTTTAGAATTGAAATGGTGATGTTAAAAGGCATAACAAAGACAGTAAAGAATCAAGATTCTCAAAACCAATAAGCCAGAAACTACAGACCCAAAATAACTAAGGTTAAAAAAAAAAAAAAAAACTAAGGTTTTACTGATTTAGAAACCACTATGTACAAGGTTCAAGTAAAAAAGTTTTGGACAGGAAAGATACCAGAATTCATCGATCTTACCATCTGAAACTTGACAGACTTATTCAAGTGTTTGGATTTATCTAGTGTCCTTAAATCTCCATTTTAAAATACAACTCTTTTAAATTTAGCATGGCATATTTTTTAATTAATGTTTTAAAGGTGCATGTGTATATGAAATCCTTTCAGAAGATTTATTGCTACCACCAGGTTTTCTTTGATGGGATATGTCTGGACAAACTGACATATTAACCCTCTAAACTGTATCCCTTTCATAAGTTACTTAAAACATTTTTTTTCTCCCTATAGTATATATAGGAACTTCAAATTATTGCATCATAAGGTAGTATACGAAGATCTTAGAAGGATGCTTTTTTCAATCAATACTGTTTGCTGAAACTCATTTTTTAAACGAGCTGCTCCTTAATTTCACTACCACATACCTTGACACGAAATACTGTTGTTATGTGATATTGGCAGTGATCTGTACTAGGATGAATGAGCACAAATCCAAAACTATGGATATTTCAAAGATTCCTAATGTTTATGCTCCGAAACTCTTCTCCTCTGTTTTCCCCACTGCATGGAATGTTGAAGGGAAAACTAGCAATATCTGTAGGCGACATATCTTAGTGCCAACCACCATAAAGAAAATGTCAGTAGCAAGACTGTGACTATAAACTGCTATTCAATGGATTACACTCCTGGCAAACTACTGACCCTGACCAAATCCACAAGACAACAACATCACAAAAGCAAAGGAGGAAATCCATGCACAGCCATTTTAGGATCCCTTGGAACTATGATACAGTGATGATTAAAGGTAGAATGACACCTGTGGTAAAGAAGGAAGCTCATGTGACAAATATTTCACAGAAAACCAAAGGGGCTCCTTACTCCTAGTCAGCAATCAACACTGGGTTCCTTTTCGGCTCACTGACTTTTAAACCAAGTTCCAATGATGAATGAGAACATATTAAAGCACTTTCTCCAGACTAATTTTTCTGACCACATAGCGAAATGTGTATAGGAATACTTAAAAAAACAGCAGTTTTACAAATATTTCACCCAAAGCACAAACTTCTGACATCAAAAAACACAACTCACATAATGTACTAATATTGCTTTTTATCTCTTTATATATACTTGTTCAATGCATTTACCTATCAATTGTTGTTTGGGAGAAGAACATAGTCATGAGATTAAGATTGCTGGGAAAATGTCAACAATCCCCTTTGGTCCCAAAGCTGAGAACAGCTGAGAAAAACACATATCTAGAAAGGGAAACAAGAAACAGAGGCCACCAAAGAATCTTTTGAATATCCTGTTGGCTTTGTTTCAGAAAATGTAACATTGGTATCATAAAATAGTCATGTTCATATAAAAGATGGTTCTTGCAGCATCATCCCTGTGTCCCCTCAGGAACCATATTTGCAGGGATCTGGTTTTGTTTTTACGGAGTTTAATTTGAAAACAAACAAAACAAAACCAAAGTGACATTGGCCCTCCAAAGTAAAGAATGAGACCTTTCTTGTTTCAGTCAGTGCTTAAAGAAAAAGCAGGCTAAGCACTGAGTGAGGGCTGGCCTTCATGAGTGAGCAGAACCGTCAGAGGGGCTTTTTTCCAAAAGCTGTACTTCAACACTGTGAAAAGCTGGAGCACTTTACAGCCAACTGGGAGTGCATGATGCTGTCATAGTCAAGTCAGCTGAGGAGGTTCTCAGTTTCCCAGAGCAACGGGCACACAACACAAGGACCTACCCTTCAGTTTCTTCAATTGGTTCCGGCGGTGGGAGCAGTGAGGCCGATGGCATGACTGTACTCGTTCCTCGAGAGACTCGGTCTTGCTGCTCTGTGTTTGTGGACAGTGAAGCCACAGCGATAGGCTGCAGCAGGGTGGTTGTCATGCCAGTGGTGACTGTCAGACTGTGGCCAGAGCCCTTGAGCGTTAAATCTGGTGTGGGAAGGAGTGGTTTGAGGATACTGACGAGGCAGAAAGCAGAGCCGCTTTTGGGAATGAAATTCACCTTATTTTTGTCAGGACAGTAAAAGGCTGGAATTTCATGAAGTTGTTTTGGCCTGGAAAGAGAATAGACAACCCAAGACTTATAAGTCACAGGACACTGGAAATAAGCTCTTTTATTTTTTTTAAAAAACAGATAACATACAGATACAGAAGTGGGATACAAAACTGACACAATGCCAAAGCTTCAAATACTATGAGCCAAAGCAGAAACAGACACACACTATAAAATATGTAGCTTAGAATGCCATGGACATCTTTCATCCTGGACGCGTTCAGTTCTCTGCACATACCACACAGGTTGCTCAGGCTGACCACAACAATCCCCATTCACTGAAATCAGTACTTCACAGAGACCTAAGGTTGTCAATATGTAAATTCTTCAAACAAAAGCAAATCTAGATGTTTAAAGACAAAAATACACTCCTCTGCCAGGATTTTTTCAAGTCTAATATTTTGAAGGACAGAGTCCAGGAAAATTAAAAACAGATACTATACATTTTTTGCTAGTACCCTTCATTTTATGACTAAACTTTAATAGGCCTAAGTTCTCAAGTGCTCTTAAAAAATTTCTTTGAATTAGCCATGATAGCTTCCTGAGTAATAATATAAATGTGAAATCAAAATAAAACTAATGGTAGTCCTCTGAAGGATTTTACTGAAGTCAAATCTTTTCCAATCCCCTAGGTGCTCTTGAAAATTAACCCAACTAACTGGGAAAAGATACTGGTGTTAATGGTATTATACATAAAGAAAAATATTAAAGCAAGCAAATCAACACAGATACATATAATAGACCAATGGTTACCAGAGGGTAAGGAGATTGGGGCTAGGTGAAATGGACATAAGGAGTCAAATGTATAAATGACAGATGGAATTGTAACTTCCACTGGTAATCATGAGGTAGTTAGTATACACATACATTATAATGCCACAACTTTTTAATGTAATTAATCAATGTTACTAAGTTACAAATTTAACGAATACTTAAAAAATTTGCTTAAGTAACATGAAAGTACAACAATTTTAATAAGGTGGGAAAATAAATAAGATTCAGGTGGAAAAGGTGGTATGACCATAAGATAAAAGTATGGTTCTCATTTCTCCTAATTAAAAGAAAAAATTTAAATGTCATGTCTGCAGTAGATTCTGGGGATCCAAAGATGAAACATCTATACAGAGGTAGACTAACATGTAGTCCTCAGTAGTTGGGAAGTACTGGGTACAGAGTTATATGTCAACATAGTTAGCCTTTGCAATAATAGTGTTTTATGCATTTGAAAACATTATTTGGATAAATTATGGGTTTCTTGACCATCCATAAGCTTTACCAGATTGCAAAACATTTCCATAATCAAAAAAGGTTAAGAATTCCATGGAGATGCAAAATATGCTAAGAATGGTTTATAAAGGTTTAAAGGTAGCAAAAGGGAGTAAATAACCTGTGGGAGAGGGGAAAAATGGAGAGTTTGGGAGCTTAGCAAGAAGGCTTACAAACAAAGGGTTGGGTTTTAAAGAATAAAACAAAAGACCTTGGGAATGGGTATAAAGTAATAGTATGTGTTCCAAATAGCAATACTTTGGGTAAGCAAATTTTATTAATAGCAAATATGCCTCAGAGACACAGTGGGAGCAGAACAGGCAGACTGATGAAGTACACTGCTGAGGGGAACAAGGGCAGAGTAAGGAGAGGTCTGCTGGGCCATGTGGATCAACTCTGGGACCAGGGATCAACCTTGCACTGAAGTGGCTGTGGCTAGCTAGTAGTGCTGCATCCTAACTCCTTGCACCAGCAGTGAGGGCATGAGAATATGCTTTTAAATTTTTTTTTATATTTTAAAAATAATAGTTTATTTTTACATCACTTTGTGCTTTTTTTCCATCTCAGTTATAATCCCCGTGGGCTTCCCATTACCAATTCACCATGTGCTATCACCATAGTCCAGTGCCTCCCCCCACCATTTTTGATCCATTCCCCACTCCACTCCCGTAAAATGTCTCTGGTATATACTTGTTTATTATTATTTTCTCACCTGGTCCTTTACACTCCTGCTATGAGTGAAACCATCTGCTATTTTTCCTTTTCTGAAAATACATACTTGGTAGGCGACTTCAACACACCACTCTCAACAATGGACAGATCAACAAGACAAGAAATAAGCAGACACTAAAGATCTGAACAAGGACCTGGACAACATGGGTCTAATGGACATCTATAGAATACTGCACCCCAAAAAATCTGAGTACACGTTTTTCTCAAATCCACATGGATCATTCTCTAGGATTGACCACATACTGGGCACAAGATAAATATCAACAGGTACATTAAGACTGAAATCATACCAACTATTTTCTCTGACCATGAAGTAACCAAACTAGAAATAAACCATGTGAAGAAGGCAAGAAGCCCACCTACCACATGGAAACTGAAACCCACCTATTGGAGAACTGCTGGATCAATGAGGAGATCAAAGAAGAAATTAAAAAATACTTGAGAGGAATATGCTTTTTAACTTAAAGAAGATTGGAAGTTTGAAGTTACGTTTCTAGTGCTTGAATTTTCTTTTGAAGACAGAATTTTTGAAGATAACTTTCTTTAAAAATGGATAAATGGGCCCTATAATTAATTTAAGCTTCTTCAAACTAATACAAGGAATTCTTTGGTATCGTTTTAAAAAGACATGCATAACTTTTTCTTTTTAAATCCAGGCATAAATTATTAGCAAAGACAATGGCTGTTCCTAGTTATTTATAATGGGAAAATGGAAGGGAAGGAGGAAGGAAAAAAATATAGCCATTTTATATTAAAAAAAATCACTGTATTGCAGAGGTAATAATACTTAAAAATTTTAAATAATTAAGGCCAAGAAACAGTATGTTTTACTTCATTAAAGAGAATTTATTATCCTGGCCCTTCCTGGTGGCACAACGGGTTAAAGCACAGCAGTATGAAGCTAGCTGCAGTAGCTTCAGCACGAGTTTGATGCCCTGCCAGGGAAGTGACCCACGTGGTGCAGCCGACCTCTCCTATCTCGCCTGCTGCTCCCCTCAGCAGTGTACTTTGTCAATCTGCCTGTTCTGCTCCCCGTTCTGCTCCCCACTCTATCTCTGGTGAATCCACTCTCCATCCCTGAACCTCTGGCCTGTACCCCAGTAATGTATGGAGAAGTAAACAAATTAAAAAAAAATTGCCACTAAGTGCAGATGGTATGTATGTCTTTATCAAACAAAAGTGCAACATATTAAATAATTGGCAACCACAAATGTTAGTAAGGACGTGGCAAAAAAGAAACTCTCCTACACTGCTGGTGGGAGTGCAAACTGATCCAAACACTATGGACAGCTGTGTGAAGATTCTTCAATCTATTAAACATGGAGCTTCCATATGATCTAGCAATTCTAGAAATCCACCCAAAGGACACAAAAACATTGATTCAAAAAGGGCATCTGCACCCCTATGTTTACTGCAGCACTATTTACAATAGGTAAGAAATGAAACAACCAAAATGTCTAAAAACAGACAATTAGTTCAAGATGTGGCATTTATACACCATGGAATACTATTCAACAATCAAGAAAGATAAACTCATGCCATTTGCAGCAATATGGATGGAGCTGAAAGGAGTAAATCAGAAAGAAAAAGAAAGTTATTGGATGGTTTCACTTACAGGAGGAATATAGGGGAACCAAATAAGAAAGAAAAAGAAATGAATAATAACAATAATAAATTAAAAAAATAAGGTGATAGGCAACTATAAATCAGATACACTCTTCATGGGGTAGAGGGAGGGAGAAAAACAGGTGAACTGATGGTGGGAATTTTATGGGGACTACACCTGAACAATCATGTAAGATATGTACATGGAGTACTTGACTTGAACAGAAGTATATGAGCATGGGAGATCATGTATCGGGCACCAGACAGTGTTAGTTTAAAAGCCTCCTCCTTGCCTTACCTCCACTATAGTAATGCAATTCTAAAAAGTAATAAAATTCTGTTTTATGAATTATAGACAAAATATTTTTCAAAACTGTGTAAAGAACCAGAGGCCAAAAGTATACAAAAACTGAAGGAAATCTGATGAGTAAGATCCATGATCTATCCTGAATATGTGATTTTGATTGTATACAGGTTTAAAGTAACAGCCACAGAAGATACATTGGGGTCAAATGAATAAATGTAACTGGACTGTAAGTGCTATTAAGCATTATTATTTATTTTCTTTGGTATGATATGGCATTGTGGTTATGTAGGAGTACTGTGGTTACTTTTAGGAAAAGAATTTTAAACTGTATTTATGGTTGAGTGTCATGATATCTGCAAGTTAGGTTCAGACAATTCAGCAAAAACTAAAGGTTCCAACATACAGACAAAGCAAATATAGGAAAATGTAACAACTACATCTAGGTGATGGATTTTCTTCAACTTATTTGAAAATTTTCATAATAAAAGTTATAATTAGGCAGATAGCATATACTTACGAGCATTCCTCAAAAACTTTGACTCTTTCACAGCCCTCAGGAGGCTCCCTTTTGAACATGTAACTATTGTTAGGTTTTGGTGAGGTTGCATATTTAGGCAAAGGAGAGTTGTTCCCATTCTCTGCAATAAATAATATACTGGGTTACTAAAAATACTACTACATAAATGAACATTCATACTGTATTTAACCATTCTCGGTCTGTCCCACACTATGAACTACATGAGGGAAGATAAGAAGAGTTTTATTCAGTAATATCACCCCAGCATCTAACACAAACCTGGTAAAGAAGAGATAATTAACTTTTGTTCAATAATTATATAAACAAAAGTTTTACTTATTTTTCATATAAAATTACCAAGGCCTAAGACCTACAACTTAACTATCAGTAATGAACACTGGTCAACTTCCCTATTTTATTTCTATTTAATACAGCAAGGAAACTCAAATGTCATATTCCATCCTTCCCAGTACAAGTAACTGAAATGCTTCTTCATTGGTAGCTTATTCACTCTTGAACTGTCTTTCAGAATTTCTCAATTTGGTTTCTTTGCTCCATTGGCTAAAATCTGTGACCCCTGTAGCTGGTGAGATGCACACTGTCCCCTCACGACTTCTTTTAGCCTGTGAACTTCTCCATACCTAAGAGAGCCTTCTCTGTTGAAGTCTCACAATTTCCTTCAAAGTCTGACTCAAAGTTTTTGAAATCTTGCCAAAATTATTCCTATCAAAGGGAATAATTCTTTACTAAGATAATGAGTCACTCGTCTCTTAAAGTCAAATACTGCAGGCGGAAAAAATTTATGGAGTTCCTACATGTTACTGGTAGAAAGTACGGGAAATCAAAGGGCAGATTTTAATAGCCATGAGGAACTGTTTCTTGGTTTTGTTTTTTATTTTACTCAGAACTAAGTAGCAGGAGTTGTGCTATCCCTTTTAATTCTACAGTAAGTCTAAAAAGTAGCTAATTATGTAGATGCTTCAGCAAGAAACTCTGTTGCCCAACCAAAGAATTAATTCAGTGGGATCAAATTCTGTGTATAGAAGAATAACCTAAGAGGATCAAAAACTATTTCCTATTCCCAAGAGTTATGACTTAATTGGTTTAGGATGCTGGCCAGAAATATCAATGTTTTACGTAACATGTGAAATATCAATGTTTTACGTAACATCATTCTTCAAATCGTATGTTCTCTGCATTTATCTCAACAATTTAGAAGACTGGTAGTCATGGCCACTAGTAGCAATTAAATACTTTAAAACAACCGAGATGAAAAAATACACAAAATGAAGAATGATGTAAAAAAAAAAAAAACACTTTAAGATAGTAAACATACTACAAAGGGAAGGTTCAGAATAAATGACTACTGAAATGAAAAGTAGAATTAACAAATAAATACCTTTTGTTTTCAACTATACACTGTAACTAAGATTAGGCTAACAAAATATTGCTCTGATGCAGAGAGATGAAAGTGCGTATTTTTTTTTTAAAAAGTAGTATTACTAATTAGCATTGATGCGGCTTATGTCTCCAAGTTCTTTATTAATAAGTTGCATATGTAGTTTAATACCATAAATGGCTCTCCAATCTTCTGTTACAGGTTTGCATTGAATACTCACTTTACATTGATACGGATCAACTTAATTCTTGTTAGAAATATCAAAAACATAATTTCATTAACTAAAAGCACTAACTTGAAGGTTTCACATTCAATTCAACTTAAAAGTAGCAATATAGTAAAAATATGATTACTAAGATGAGGGAGAACAAATGCTTTATAGGATCAGTGTTGAGCTCTATACTAAAAAAAAATACTTCTCACTAGTAAGGAAACTGTTAACCAGTGAAAAATAAGAAGAAAACAAAGAACAAATAAAGATCCAAACAGTACCCAAACAGACCATCACCTGGGTATCACAATGAAACCTATTTTGTACTCCAGTTTTTCAAATCTCTTCATATTTTGAACACCTCTCTAAGTAAAACCTAACAGCCTTATGCATGTGTATAAATTTTCTGCCAGAAAATGAAAAATGAATAACAAAATGGACAGTATTTTACTCAGCATTTGGTGACAATCCCTCTGCATTATACCTTTATCCCTGGGGTCAACAAGCAGGTCATCAGCCGAGCAAGGGCTCTCCTCACTCCCTTCGTTGGAGATGGTGAGGAACGATGTAGGAGACACAGACTGAGAACGGCTGCTATTGTTGCTCCCCCTATCTGCCCCGCCAGGGGTCTGTGTGTCAATGCTGCGTGTGCTGCTACTTCTTTGTACAAGCGGGGGAGGCGCACGATGGCCATCTGGAATATCTTGTGGCTGTAACAAAATTTAAAAATACATGTGCATTTATCACTGATTTTGAAACTCACACAGAAATGCACCCAACATCAACTTTGCCCTGTTGTCCCAAAGACACATAAACTGAAAACTCCCTGCTTACTGAGCATAAGGAAAAAAGAAGCGTGTGCTGTGCTGCTCTGTTAGTTAACCCCTGACTAAACTTACACCCCGACTACACACTAGGCAGTGTTGCGTGACGACTGTATGTCCAAGGTCAGACATATGGCAGGTGGCTAATGCTTACTGAATGATGAACTGTACTGAATTACTCAATATGTGCTAAATATTAATACATTTTTAAGAGCATAAAGAAGGGGTAAGATAAAAGCAGCAAAATCTAGGATTACCACTAAATTGCTTATTAGAAGAAAAGGTTAACCATTGTGTGAACTAATATTTATGACAGGCCCCATTACCTTCTTCTGCACTCTTCCACCTGAAAGACCTTTTTAAAGGAAACCTTCCTAAAGGAGAAAAAGTTAACATGGCAGTGCTAATTTTGTGGGGAAAAGCAAGGAGAACATTTAAATTTAGGTTTGTGCACCTTATTTACTAGCAGGGAAACTAACTCCTGTTTATCTTTGGTTCAGTTATCTGGGAAAGTTCCCCCTTTCTTCCATAATACAAACTGGAAGAGAGGATATGGGGAGTTGTACTTGCCTTAAGTTAAACCAACCTTTAATCTTAAAGAGAGTTTCATAAGCATCAGTAAGCTCACTACTTAAAACTCTCCAATTCCTCTTTCATCAATGAATGAAACCTTGAATATATACTATGACATGGCTTCCTTACTGTATCTGACATGGGAATTTTTTTCCCCTTTATTGAGGTAGCACTGGTTTACAACACTTTATATTATTTAGGAGAATAGGCACATATGAATCATTCCTCATTTTTTTTTTTAAACTGAGGCAGCTTTCTCTTTAGTGATAATATTTTTTAAGATTTCTTTTTGTTTATTTATGCATACAAGAACTGGGATGTAGGCCAGAGATGCAGGGGATGAAAGGATATACTAGAGATAAAGCAGAGAGAAACACAGACAGATCTACTGAAATAACCTGCTGAAGGGAACAGAGGGTAGGTCAGGAGAGGTCTGCTTCGCCATGTGGGTCAGCTCCCTGACCAAGGATAAAACTCATGCCCCAGTGGCTGGCAACAGCTTGATAGAGCTGAGACTTAATCACCAAGGAGGCCCCATATGAATCATTCTTATCCATTGTATAGTGAGCAGAAAGGCTGTCATGATGATACAGTCAACCAGCCAGTAACTAACAACAGTTAGTTAGAGACAGGTACAGATTCAGCCTTAGAAAATAATCAATGTCACAGCTGTCCCTCTAAAATTAGTAAATTAAACGTTTGTTAAATGGAGTCACAGTAAATGAAAAATGTATCACCTGGCTAGTATTTTTAAATATATAGTAAATAAACAAAAAATAGTTTCTGTTAATTGATCTAAACTTAAGTGGCTATGAGATGCAAAGAAATGAAAATTTTTTATTCACTTGCCAAAAGGAAAGTCTTTCAAAAGAGGTAAAATTTTATGCTCTCTATAAAGAACAAAGAAACCTAAGTAAATAAAATTGTAAACTTTTAATAATTGGAAGAGCCTATGAGTAAGGATGATTGTAAGAGACAAGATTACTTACTATAAGTTGTTCTTCCTTTTCCCCAGTCTCCTTAATTATTATCTCAATCTCCTGATTCAATCCTTCCACACTATTCCGGAACCGGGAACCTGTTGATTTGGTGATGGGAATTACTGGAATAAGTGCACTCTTTGGAACGGGAGCCTTAAGAGACAGTAGTGGAGAATGGAGAAAAGAAGTTTAATATATCTCTCAATTCTAATTCTCTAGATTTATGCATATTCCATCCAACTGACATGAGTAATTTAAAAGTAAGTAAGTTCATAGGTCTCACAAAAAGTGTAAGTAATCAAATCAACTTATTGGCATAGATAAAATGTAACTTAATGCCAAACTCTCAAGAAAATCAAGGTAGATTTTCACAAGTTACTTAACATTTATGGGGAACTGTAAAGTTCCACAGTGTCACAATTATTTATATTCCATGAAAGAAACAGCCCCAAAAATGATTTATCAAAATAGAAAAGAAAAAATAATTTGGGGAAAACAAAATCACTTCCAATATCTATATATAACAGAAATACTAAAGAAGTAACAATAAATAACCTGTTAAATCCAATTATACTTTCATTACTGAGGATTTAAAATTTTTTGTTAGCAAAAGAAAATTATGTATTTTTTTTCATTCATCTTTACCATATTACTACTACCTTTTCTTATTTTTTCAAAGTCTAATTTTAATAAAAAATGTTTTCATCGGCACAGTATTACTTCTGAAGAGAAGTAACTGATTATATATTTATAGGATATTGCATGGTTTCCTGTGACAAGATACACAACATAAAGTGAAACGAAAATTATAGAATTATCTGCCAAAGTTAATAACAATAATGTGCCAGAGGATCACCTTTATATTGTCCTGCTCTCTGCTAAAGGAATGTGATCAACCCATTCTTCATTTAAGGAGGTTTCTTTGAAAAGCCTCTGTCAGGGGAAGGTGGGCACAGACACAGACACAAAGCAAATGGCTTCTAATCAATTATCACTAGTTTGTGTCAATAAATAACCTTGAAATCCCATGTAGAACTGCTAAAACTCTTTTTTAAAATACTTTTTATTTATTCATACAGAACTGGAGTACAGGCTGGAAGTGCCAAGGATGAGAAGATTCACCAGAGGCAGAGCGGGGAGCAGAACAGGCAGATGGACTGAAATATACCACAGAGGAGAGCAGTGAGTGGGTCAGGTGAGGTCTGCAGCCATGTGGGTCACCTCCCAGGCCAGGGAGCAAACTTGTGCTACAGTGGCTGTGATAACTTCACAGTGCTGTGCTTTAACTTGCTGCACCACCAGGGAGGGCCCAAAAACTGTTTTTCTAAAAAATAATCAATACAACATAACTAAACAAAATAAGCAGACAACTATAAATCAGACATTTTACAGAGAAGTGGGAGGGAGAAGGTACAAACTACCAGTGGGAAGAGCAAAAGGGACTGGGGTGATGGTGCCAGATGAATTGGTGATGGGAATTTATGGGGACTAAATGTTATGTAAAGCATCTGCAAATAAAGAAATAATAAAAAAAAAATCCTGTTTTTCTCTTATTCCTGCTCACCTTACAGTTAAAGCAAAAGGCATGAAATTTGTGAGAGAAGCACTGAGAGGCTTCAAGATGAGCGCTCAGGAAGCTCTTCTTCATTGTTTGGTTACTGTTGGGGCTGACTCTCATGCTTCTAGTATAATAGGTGCACAAAACACTGCTCCAGAGTTTCTGGGCCACAGTGGGTGGATGCTTAGAAAACAGTAACGACAATTATTACTTTACATTTTCATCGTCTATCTTATCTTAATCGTTTCTTTCCACATTTTTTAAACTATCATTTATTGTCATCCACATATGGTCTTAAATATTTTCACCTTCTCAACCCCTCTGTTTCTCAATCTTTTCCTCATACCACCCTCTAAGCTTCTCATATTTACTCCCTTTTCATTTCCATCTTTTATTTCTATCTGTTCATCTAATCTCATCATCCACCATCAAAAGGAGAAATATTAAAAAGTCTAAGCATAAATATGCTATAGGCATTTCACAGAGAAAATAAAAAATTGAAATCAACATCTTTGTGTTATTCTGTACAATGTAAATCTATGATGTGTTGATATACCATTTCCAAATATGATTTTTTTACTCCCACTATTAAAAAAACAAACAAACAAAAAAAAAAACACAGCTATGGCCCTCCCTGGTGGTGCAGTGGGTTAAAGCACAGCACTGAAGCTAGCTGCAGCCACTTCAGTGAGAGTTCAATCCCTGGGTCCAGAGGTGACCCACACGGCACAGTAGACCTCACCAGTCTTGCCTGCTGCTCCCCTCAGCAGTGTACTTTGTCAATCTGACTGTTCTGCTCTTCACTCTGCCTCTGGTGAATCCTCTCACCACCCCTGCACCTCTGGCCTGTACCCCAGTTCTGTATGCATAAATAGATAAATCTTAAAAAAAAAAAAAAAGCTATGAACATACTTATAAACATTTGCCACATATATAATTTTTTTTTAGATAAAATCTTGGGGCAGAGTAATTGGCTCAAAATGTAGGAGTAAGAGCTTGCCATTCACATTACCAAAGTGAACAGTGAACTATTTTTACTCCTTTACATTCTACCTACACTTATGTATAACATGTATTTTGTAAGACTTTTACCATTGTATTTATCTTTCTTAATCTTTACTTCATAAATAAAAATTTCTTGTTATTTTAACTTTTATAGTACTGATCACAGTGAACAAGGTTTTAAAATGATTATCAGTAACTTTTTCACTTGGAGAGAGGTAGTATTTGTAATTTTTTTGACTGATTAGAAAAAGCACTACATGGTGCTTATAGACTCTTTGGCCTCTACACTGCAAATGTGTTTTTATTCTCAAATCATGAGTGGTATGCACATTTTTCATAGTATGTCTAAATGCCACTTCTTTGAAGGAACTATGCATTCACTTCATTTTAGGTTTTGAGAGTTCCTTACACAATTAGATCAGTGTTAAGCAAATAAAAACAATGGAAAGTCTTGCCTTGTCCCTGATTTTAGTGGAAATGTCTCTAGGGCTCCCCATTAAATAATACTGGTTCTATGGTATCAACAAGTGAGAGTGTGTGAGAGTGAAGTGTGGGTGTACAAAGACATGTTAAGAAAGTACTTCTTAAATTCTTATAGTCTTGTGTATTTTTATCAAGAGTGCTATATTAGATCACAAGGCTTTTAAAATCAATGTAGATAAGCATGCGATATTTTCCTCTAATAAAATTTTAAAGCAAGGAGAGTCAAGTAATCTCCTTGGCCATTACATGATCTAAATGTAAGTACTGTAACATCCCATGCAACTTTCCCAGCATGGACAAGTTACAAACAGGAGCCAAGGCAAATACTATGTTTTGGCTCTACTGCTACAAATCAATTAAAAGTTAAGCAACAGGTACATGAAAATAACTATTTTAGATTTAGAATAGTTGATGTATCATATTTCTTTCTTATAATTGGGTATCAGTCAGTAAAGATGCAAAAAATGACCTATTAAATTTTGTTCCTTGAGCTATAAAATGAGTACAAACACACTGTTGTATAGCAACTATAAAAGCCCTCAAATAATGAAAATAGTGATCTCCATACAGTGAAGCTATATTGTTTCTTCATTTTTCATCTTTAATTTTAATTTCTCAAGTTCTTTTTGAATGCTTCTATCCTTTGATAATCAGGAGAAAAAAAGCTACTTGGAAAAACATTTACTTAATAAGTAGTTGATGCCTTCTTTTTTCTCTTAATAAATTTCCTCTTTTTCTTAAAGAGTTCCCCTACTTTGACACAAGTTATGAAAGGAAAAATAAAATTTTGGATGATGGTAGATGTTGTTCCAATTCAAATCTGAAAGTCCTGGTTTTTTAAAGAATATTTTGGATATGACAGCAAAAATAATCTCCATAAAAGACAAAAATGCAGGAGTGATGTCACCAAGATGGCAACAAAGATCATTCTTGACCTCAGCGCAGTAGTAAGATGACAAACTAGCACTATGCATAGACAAAATACCATTGTGAAAATCCCAAAACCCAGACAATTCCCTGGACCACAGAGGCTGAGAAGGGACTGCCCAGGCAGGGAACCAAGTCAATGACATTCCAATTACAGAGCACAGCATGTGATCCTAACTGACCATGGGGCATGGACAGTGACCCCAAGCTCCCCTGGGAGCCAGTGCCACAACTGTGTAGTACAGCTGGAGACCCACAATGACCAAAGAGCTTGGGCAGAATCTTGCTTAGCAGTAGAGCACAGCCAACAAATGGCCTGATCGCCTGTGACACTGCCCAACTTCCACACACCCTGCAGCTCTGCTTACGTACACAGCACACAGCCTGAGTCTCAGTCTGATCCTCAAGCCTGGTCTGTGGCCCCACCTAAAGGTAATCTCCACTTTAGTGTTAAGGTCATTGTTGTATCAACAGCCTACCCAGCTTGCCTATCTTTAAGATGTCCTATCCTTCAATTCTTTCATCTTATTGCTACAAAACCAGTACTTCCCCTCACTTCACATAGCTACCTAGCACTGGTTCATATTATGACAAAACTGGTGATAACAAGATAGAATGAGAAGACAAGAGCAAACAGTAAATGCTATGCTTCAGAAGTGGGGGAGCTACTGGGAAGTGGGGGCAGAGCTGAGTAGCCTAGTGAAACTATGTAACACAAAAGGTGGACAGATTCAGCTCTTTTTCCTTCTTGCTTTTGCAGCCCTGACTTACACCCTCGTCCTGCTGGAAGGAATCTTGCAGAAAACACGTGGAGGAGATATATGTAGAGACTCTTGGAAGAGACAAGGGGAAGCTAACAATGGCAGCTGTTATCTTGATGAGGTATGTCCTTTTCTTCCGGCTCTATAAAACTTGCCTAACCCCTCTCTTGCTGTTCCCTGCCAGAAGCACCTTGGACTTGTGGCAAGCCTTTGGGCCTCAGTGGCCCCACTTCGACCCAAACCTATTTGGTTAGACATTTGCTCATGAGGGAATGGGTGATTTTCAGTTTTCTTAGGGATCCTTTCTTCTCTCTTTATACACACTAATTCTATGAAAGAACTTTCACACACAGTCTGCTTCCTTTGCCTGTGTGTGTGTGTAGATGTCCAAATCCCTTTCAGAGTGTGCACCCCTTAAC